TATTCAATCTCTATTTTTTGCAAAAATTGTTATTTGGGCAAATTATTTATCAACTATGTACTGTTTGTGCGCATCGGGAAATATTTCTACAATGGAAAAATTGACAACCCTCGATGATTTTTTATTATATTCATTAAAAATATTACTTTATATTTATCGCAGCAAATGTTCATATTTAAACTGACAAGGTACGAGAGACAGACAGGGCAAATTATCGTCTTATTTTGTATATAGTAAATAATATTGTAAAATAATTTTTCACGAAAAGCTAATTTGTTGTTAGTTTGATAATATTGGTGTTACTCAACCGTGAATAATTTTCCGATAATATTTGAGTATACTAGACTCAACCCCAAATTTCAATTTTTACTATTTTTAAAGAAATCCAGAAACTCAAAAAAGTGATAAGAAAATGGTCTTTTTTCGAACCATTCTGTCAAAACTATTTTTTTACCTTAATCCTAGAGTATGTCAATCAAGATTAGTCTAGATTAATCTCTTTTTTTTATTTCGAATTACTAGGAGGATTGCAATGGTGGACACAGTCACGTGCCAATTTTTTGTGACACCCCACCTGAACAACTGCTAATTTTTAAAATTATTAACATTATTTTTTATTTTTTTTTTGTGATCTTGCAATGTTGATGAATAAATTATAAAAAAATAGTAAAATACTTATTGCATTTTTGTTTACGATGATTTAATATTTCTACTTTAATGGGTTAATACTACTTTAAGGTAATAATAAACAAGGGAGGAAAGGAAAAGATTGATTTGTGGCGCTCTCAGACATACCATGGGCCTGTCTCATACATTAAGAATTTATTTTCAACGCTCTATTTAATGGTAATAATTTATTTAATTCAATTAGTCTTTATTATTTTAAAAATTATAAAATATATTGGTTGAAATAACTTTATTTGAGCTGGATTGCGCAAATATAATTTGTTTTTAATTCAGGAAGCAGTATTGTTTTTATAGCTTTTGAAACGGTCGTACAGATAAATAAACAATCTAAAGTATATTGCTGAATATTTTGCAATATGTGATATAATTCTTATCTTGTGATTGAGTTTTATTTAATTTTGTTATGATTTAATATTAATTAAATTTTAACCATCGGAAAATCATGAGCAAAACGTTAAATTACTGTTTTTTGCTTAAAATAATAAAAAATAAAACCTTTTTCAGAACTTACTTAATCAACTATGATAATTAAGTTTTCAGGTCATAAACGAATAAATTTGTTAGAATTAATAATTTTCTGGGCCGCAACAGTAAACTTTTTGGCTTGTGATATTGTAATTAAAATCATTTAAGTACATATATGGTTTATAATGTGATTATAAGTAACTTGAACGACTTTTTCATTATGATTAATAAAATTTATGGAAAAACTAGCACATAATAAAATCAAATCGAATATTTAGATTTAGATCTTAAACATTTTATTTTGGAATATTTTTTAAAAAGTTATTCTAATTACTCAGCTATTCATAAATAACAAAATTAATTTATTAACCATTCACGTTGTACATAGTTCTTTCTGATTCTTTTTCGAGAATTAGCATTCCTAGAACACAATACAGAATACATCTGAATGCCGAAAATTCATTGGAATTCAGCGAAATACATATTATTGCGCACACTTTTACTTTCACCAGCGCAGATGCCAGACAATTCATTCCAAAAGCTCGCTTCTTTCTTTTTATTTATGACCAAAAAAAAGGCGTCACCGACTGATTTGTCATGATTATACATACAATCTTCCTGCTGAATCTTTTCTTGATGTCAACATTTTTGAATTCTTTTCTTTGAATGCGGCTCGGTAACTGGCTGAATACAGATAGTCTAGCTGAATCAGACATTCCCTAATTCATGTATGAATTATAGTACTACTAAAGCATTATACACTGAAATTATAGTAATGTAATCTAAGCATTGTGAGCAGCCTAGATTACTTCTAATATTTCAATAATAAGTGTAAAATTCTATAATTAGTATTTGTTGCTTGGTTTAGGGTGGTCTGAATAGATCCGGTACTAAAACCGAAATCCAACTGTTACAATTAAATTGTTTGTTTGTTTTTGAAAAGTTTGCTTCTAAATTTAGTCCACTGTCAGTTGGTCTTCAAGCATAAATTAGTTGGTTGACCCCTCTGCCACCGGCACCAGCAATTTCTTAAAATTGATAGTTCTTGGCATCGCCCAAGATTGTCGATTGTTTTTCATAGTTTATTAATAAACTTAAATATATTTTTAAAATGACATTTAGAGCATCTGACTCAGTAGTTGCCAACCTTTTTTGCACCGCGTCCCCCTGCTCTAATAAAAAAATTTGTTGCGCCCCCCTTATTTTTTTCAACAATTTAAATTTATAAATTCAACTGATATTATCAGACTACAAATTAATATGCAATATTATTTAAAAATATGAATAAAAACTAATTGTTTTTTGTTTATTTTTTATTGTCATTTCAAAAATGTTGGGTCATTATTGAAAATAGTATTCTGGAAACTGATGTTTGCGCCCCACTTAAAACAGCCAGGCGCCCCCTGAAAGTTAGAAACCGCTGATCTAACTATTTTAATTTGTATATACAAGTCCACTATCAGTGAAATAAAAAAAGGGATGCAGAGATTACTTACACTTGATTACAAAACGAGATTCCTTTCTTTGCTAAATAGTTTAATGATAATTTTACGGTTATATTAGTTGCGTCTTTATGAGAAAATTGCAAGTAATAAAATGCCATGCCAATGCATGTGAAAGCATATCTGGACCGTTTCGCGTTTACCACAAACGTCTAAAAATTACGCCTGAAAAGCAGACAAATTTGTAGTAAATATTAATTTGCTCTCGTTGTATGGTAAACTGGAGTTGAGAACATATGAGCTTTTCAGATCTAGTCAGCTTTTTTGGTCAAGGAAAGTTAAAATGGCCATTGATAGAGATAGGTGTGATACCGGAACACAATAAATGGATAAAGAACTGAATTATAGGAAACAAACAAATTTCTAAATCTGGTAAAAAGTTAAAGCATTATCAAAAGCAAAGCGATATTCAGGCATTCAGGCAAGTTGCATGAATTTCTCTACATTTGTAAATAATTGACTCTATCATTAAGAATTCTGATAATTCAATTTGAAAATTTAATTAAATGATATATTTCAAAGAAACTTAAAAGAAATAATGTCTCATAATTGTATGAATTCGAATAAATTTAATCAACACATTAAGAACATACACTTTGTGTTCTAAAATGTACTTTATTCAAGTATGGACATCAATATTATTGGTAATTAGTACGAGCATATCTATGCGCACGGCTCATTATTCAGGACTTTAATAATTTTATAATAAAAATATTTTAAAAGCTTATAATATTTTTGCGTTTCTACATTGACTATCATAAAAAGTTTGATCAAATTCGTCCATTATTTGCACATATCGGAAAGTTCATGCAACTTTTCTTAATCAGACAGGTGTGATTTACGAGTATACTAGTTATGGAGAAGTGGCAGAAGTTTTAGCGAAAAAAATGTATTCTCAAATTTTAAGATTTTGTACATAAGAAAGTTTAGTACATTTTGAGGCTACGCTGGTTATATAATAAATAGTGTTGAAATCGGCGTATTGCATCAAAACAAAGTTTTTCCTCGATCGGCGTATTGCATCAAAACAAAATTTTTCCTCGATTCTGATGACACAAATCTGTACACACAGTTCAATGAGCGCGCCACGCACAACTGGTTAATGAAAATGCTACCTATATTTTGTTATGGATGGATGGTTCATACGTAGTCCCAATTAGTCAAAATTCAAAAATTTACTTTTTACTGTCGACGCATCAATTTGATTTTTAAATAACCCTGGAATCATTATGAAACAGTGGCCGCTCCCGACAAGAAAAACTCATTAGAATAGAACAGCAAATTTTGTGTAAGATAGTTTAAGAGTACACGCCGCCACTGTTTTTGTTGTACTACAACTTGAAATATTTACTCCTGAATGGTCGACAATACTAAAAATATAAACACGTTGAATGGCTGTGGATGATGATCGGTCTGCTTAGGCGTTTTTAACACGTTTGCGGATAATAAAAGTTTCAGAAAGGTACAAAAAATGGCAGTCATTTAATTTTTAAATTAGTTGTGATTTGGTTAAAAGCCGTTTATAAAGATAGTCTGATTTTCATATTCATACATACCAAGAATACTATATCATCTATGTTAAGTATTTCGCTTCCATTTTACGTAATTTTCTTGTCTAAGCTAATTAGTGACGGTAAAAGATAAGGTAATACAAAAACACCTAAATTATCAGTTAGTCATTATTTTGACAGGTAAATAACTACAAAAACCTAAAGTTGTATAATATTAAATTCAAAATAATTAATTGACTTTATAATTTAAATGCCATAGTATCCACGTCATTCTGCATCACAATAAAAATAAGTAAAGCTTTTACGTCCGCTAACGTTTTAAATACCAATTAAATAAAAAAAACGTCAACTCTTCCGCATAAAAATCCTGAACCGATTTTGGAAATTAAAAACTTGTCGAAAGCTATTAATCAAGAATGTTGTGCTTCAAATTTTCAAATATGGATAAGTCGTTTTTCTGAATTTGCTGTTAAGAATAAATTTCAAATTTACAAAACGCATATTGCTTCTTAATATGCCATGTTGTCAAACCAAATAAGTTTTCATGCTAATATTTTAGTTAATAAATATTTTATCTATTATTTTTTTTTTTTTACTCATTTTGATTAGTTCGCAGAGTTTACTTTTATATATTACATGTCTGGATTAAATATTTGACGTAAAAATAGAACCCACATTATCGAAGTTTTTATTTGTTATTAGGATATAATCATCAACAATAAGAGTGAATAAAACTCAAGTTTATCAAAAATACAAGTTTATTATAAAAATTTAATTATACTATTATTATACTGATATGCATTATATACAAGTACAGAAATATAAATTCTTTGTGACTGTTTCAATTTTCAGCGGCACCTGCATAATTTTATTATTAAAATTATATACAAAGTAATTTGCAAACAAATAAACCAAACTGCAAGAATGCCTACGTCAAACCTGAAAATAATCAAATATAATGCATTAAATTATTTATATACAAAGAAAACAAACAAAATCAGAGGTGACAAGTTTATATATGACTTTTGATAACATTTAATATTAGCGTGCAACTATAATGTTTTGTTAAACTCTGGAAGTTGTTATACATTATTATAACAAACTTTATAAATTTTGTACACCAATATAAATTTTGCAATTGAAAAAATTTAACACGGAGCCCTTTATAATTTATTGATTTCTAAGAGTCCGCAAAATTAAATTTTAAATTTTGTTTATCGTCTATATTGATGAGTGGAATACTTATAACATATAATAATTATCTATAAGTAATTATTGAAAAAGTAGATATGATATAGCAAATGAGCAAGCAAAATGATAAAATAGATAATGCTATAATTAAATACTTGTGTATAAAAATGATAATAAATTGCAACACTGACATGATAAAAAAAATATCGTCGAGTATTTGCTTCAAGTAAAAAGTTGTTTATCTATTAATACCATAATTAATAGCTTCAAACTGATTTGTATTCACAGACTAACTACTTTGTAATCAATGTTGAATAATTGATCTATATGTAAATTCCGTGTATTAATAATAATAATTACATTTTTCCGCTTCAGTTTTCGTAGTCAAGATAATTGACCTCTTAATTGCAAATTGACGATTTAATTGTAATTTTATATTCAATAATCGACTTAATTTAATTGTTGGTATTTACATAAAAGCCCAAAACATATTTTTATACATTTTATATTATTTAATATGACAATTATTTGTTTTGAGTTTTTTATGTAAATTTGCAAAGATCGAACACTAAAAAAAATGATAAGCGGTTATTAGTCCATAATTTATCATACGAAAATCGAAACATCAAATAATAGCTTAAGCATCGGAAATAACTGAAAATATGTGTGAACAATGTGAGAAGTGTGTACATCAGTATATCCAATTCTATTCAGAAACGTCTTACAACGGAAATAAAATCTTACCCATTAGAAGACCTGATGTATTCAATCAGAAATATATTTGCAATTCATTTTTTCTAATGAAATATACGTAAATCATGCTTGATTTCTTTGAAGAACATTTTCTTATAATCATGCTACTTTTAGCGAAATATGAATAACATTATTTCAAGCTCATAAATTTGATCGATTTTAACCGTCGTTTGCTTACCAAAAATCTTCCTTATTCAATCCCATATCATTCAAGAATTTTTCAGGCGATTTGTACAAGCAAAACGGCTGTGAGCATTCCAGGAAGGGCCTTCCGTTTCCGTATATTGCAAATATTGCACCCCCAAATGCGTAACGGAAATAAGACAAATCGCAAAGGAACATCAGATGCGAAGGTACTTCAGTTAGGCGCATGAAAAAACCAGAAAACACCAGCATTGGTATGCAAAATGCTGGTACTAGGAATGTGCCGAGCTGAAAATATCAACAATCTATACCCAATTCTATAAATAATATAGTATATAGAATATTTTGATAGTAAAGAAATCTTTCGTTCTAAACATGGTAACGTCTGTAGGGTTGAAGTATATAATTATATCATTTCAAGTAGAATGAGTTACCTGTACTCCAAATGCTGCTCCTGATACTAGACCAATACTTTGCGCAATTAAAGCCACCAATAAACAAATTAACCATAGGTGACCTAATCGAATAAAGTTGCCTGGTTGCCCAGTCATATAATATGCTACTAATATGAAGCATGATGGGCATATTAACTGGAATTATACATATAAAAAATAATTAAGTGTGAAACAATAAATGCAATATTTTATTTAAAAAAATATTTTAATTTTTCACAAAACCAATGTCTTTATTTCGTCAACAATCGACTCATTTACTATTTCACATTTTTTGTAAAATGATAAAGAATGATGAGAATTTTGAAATCTGAGATATCAAATACCATTTTTTTTGGATATAAATAATCAAAAATTACACTTTATCTAAAATTTTAAACATTTGGTATCGGTGTTCGTCAATAACTATTTTAAAAATAACTAATTTTAAAAATGAACTAACCTGTATTGGAATATCAGATATTAACTTCGAAAAGTAGTAACTCTTCAATGAATACCAATTATTGAGATGTTCCCTTATAAATACTGCAGTCTCCTTGGGAACTTAAATTAATTTAAATTGAATTAATTAATTTCAGTAGTTATTAAATTATTATAAAGATGAATACATGATGATGAATTAAAGCTCACTATACTAATTGTATTGATGTGTTAAATCAACACTTCAGTTATACAACAATTTTATTGTAGATTTTGTTCGTTTGAGCTAAGTTACCATATGCATGAAACATATAAAATGATAACATCTAATTTTCTCTTGTTAGTCAATATTTTTAATTTGAACAATAAATAGCGATTAGAAATCCAAAGGTATTTGTTAAAAGATATATGCGTTTTCCACTCAGAAATGAAGTACAAAGAAGCTTTCGACATCACAAATATTTATTAAAAATATATTTGCTGAAAAGTTCGCAATGCAGCCCTATATATATTTCTTCAAAATGTTTATATATTTCGAAAATTATATTTTTTTTCGACTTTTAACTTACATGTTTGAACAGTTGGCATCGAATTTGCGAAAAAAATAAACATTAGGAAAAAGAAAATGCACGACGCATTTGTTGGTACTTTAGCTGCATCGTCCCCAACGCTCCAAAATACTCCCCCCAGTAATAATCCAACAAGAATGTGACAGAGTACACGCAATTGTGCAAAGTACTGCAAAGATATTAACCAGATAAATTACTTTAAATATAATTTATTAAATTCTCTATATGCAATTCATCATCTCGTGGTTTTCATGTAGATATGCAAAAATTATATATGTATAAAATGCGCTTATTCTAAGTATAATATAATAAAAATATTATATTTTTAAAATAGGATATGGTGAGGCACAAAAAGAACAATTTGACTTCGATATTGTGAAAATTCGATATTGATTCGATATTGTGAAAACGAAACCAATTATATAACAATAAATAACACATATCAAATAAACAACTATCTGACTATGTTCAGTAAAACTCCCAACTAATTCATCATTGTATAAATGTTTTATTTTGCTCAGAAATTTGTTACGTGGTCGTTTTTACCACATGGGCGGCGTAGAATGGAACGGCCAGGGGGCAAACAGATCCAATGTTTTATTTTCAATTTTAATGTTTTAATTAGCTATATTATTCAACCAACGCAGAATATAAATTTAATAGGTATAGAGATAACACTGTATTTAACCTTGAATTGGTATTTCGTCAGAAATATTTATCAGCAGAGTTGGTATAACTATTTATATACATATATATATATATATATATATATATATATATATATATATATATATATATATATATATATATATATATATATATATATATATATATTTAATTTATCTTTTTTAAAACTGCTTTTATTGTCTTTTTCCCTTCTACTTTCAAATATTGTTAAATTTCTAACTTTACTTGTTTTTGATATATCGGAGTTGGACTTTTCTACCCTCGAACCTTTAAGCTCCGGTCTACCTTATATTCAAAAACCCATATTGAACTGAACTGAACATAGCTATATTGAACTGAAAATGAACTTTCTTTATGAATTTCAGCACCTTGACTTGATAAATTTAGTTTTGATAAAAAAAAATCATATCATTTGATTATTTACATTTTCAACTCATAAAAAATGAAACCACATTGTAAAAGAACAGGGTATAGCATTATGGGGGCAATCAACCATAAATCATGAAATTGAACATCTACCAAAAACGAAGGATTTCACTATGTATTATCAGAAGCTATTTTTAGAAGTGTCAGTTTTACTGTATTATTAATAAGCATATAAAAACATCTAAATTTCTAAAAATAGCAATGACTTTAGCAAAAACATAGAAATGTATAATCACGTTGACTTATTGTGTTTACAAGTGCTGTTGATATAGGTTATAAGTAAATACTTGAGTTTTTTAAGAAACCGCAAATATAGTACTTACAAAGTCTCGTGACGTGCACAATAGCGATCGTTTTGACAATACTGCGAATTGTTTGATAAATGATGTCGGATACAAAGATTCCGATCTTGCTTTCATAACTTTCTTTAAGCTGCAAGAGAGAGGCTCCGTTTCGCCAAATTCTATTCGAATTGCATCATTCAAGAGCGGGATTTTTGCCACGAGCGATTCTGTAATAAGTATAAAAAATCAAATACATATATTGAATATTCCGCATCTTTTGTTTAAACTATTTTCTGTTTAAACAAATATAACAACAATAAAATTTAACGCACTTTGTACACAAATGAAAAATTAAGTTAATATGATATCTTGTATCAATCTACTGCAACGGTATCTCGTAAAGAAATTGTGTATGGTATTGTTTAAAAGGGTTCAACGCTATTTAAAAAAAATAAGTTAATGTTTAAATATTAAGCATTTTCAAAAAAATTAAATTTTTATAAGATGAGAATGAAGAAAGGGTTTATTACTAGATGAAGTACGGATAAAATGGTATGGTGTTTTGTTTTTTAATATAGGGTGGCCTATTTAAAAATTGGAATTTATCGATAGCAACTTGCCTGTAGGCCACACCGTGCTGAATTTGAAGTTGCGATATATGAAAAAAAACTAAGAATTTTTAGACCTTTCTAACGATGTATAATACTTTATATGTTTTCTTTACAGAAATATCTAAACTGCAAGATCACTAGATCACTAGGACCACTAGAAGGACCACCCTTTAATATTTATTTAATTAATGATATTATATCATTATAACCATTATAACCATTCTGTTCATATAGTACGGGCAAAATGCCATATTTGGTAAGGCCATGCTGAGATGCTATTTTTTAAATAAATCTTTCGGACATTAGCACAAGGGAACAAATCACATATCGTAACCAACCTATTGCAGAGCTCAGAACGGGAATATAGGGTTTTACAATAAGTACAAATTTCTTCTTTTTACCAATCGATCTTTTGGTTTGTTTTTATTTAGAAGTAGTTATAGAAGTTAAAAGCCAATCACTCTTGACAGGCTTCAATTGTCGTTTTCTTGGCTCGAATGGACTACCCTGTAGTGCTTGGAAAAACACGAAATAAAGACATAAGGCCCCAACAGACATGAAAATATACCTTCAAAATAAGCTTTTGAAGGCGCGATACACATTTCAAGTGATTACTGCGATACACGCTTGAAGTGATTACTACTAAAACTAGCCAATTGTTAAATAAGGTCACTGTGTCATTTTGTCCATACCATTTTATCCCTATTTCCCCTAGCGATATTTTGCCTTTAGTTTGCACGTTTTTGAAACGCAACTACTTGCAATATAAATTAAATTACGATGCATTATCAATTAGTATTCTGTAATTGTCATTAATAAATAATTTTAAAAAATTGGCATAATTCTTTTTATAATTACCATGCGTTACCAAAAAATTGATGCATGAAAAACCATTTGAAATATATTTATTGAGAATAAGCTTCATTATTAACTTTGATGATAGATCAATGGCGCCTAAATGCATCTTCTCAAATTTGTGCCAAATTATTTTTTTTCGAAAGATTTTTTTCAGTGACACAAATTACGATTGAAAATGGTTTTTTGTTTAGAGCTTAGACTCTAGACTTAAGTTACTTATTTCTATAATTGATCTTAAATTGAATATAAATTATTTACAGGAGTAATACGAAATTTGCAGAATACAAAATACGGAAAACACGTAATTTGTAAATGCTGCTAAAAATTAAACAATTTAATATGAATCATTCAATTATCATATTTATGGTCTAGTTACATGTTATTACTTAAAAAAATGTTAAATGTTAAATTGTGATTAATACAAAAAATGTAACATATTTAAGAGTACCAAGTCGAACAGCAACAAAAAAGATTATTACAGTTACTTTACAGTTAATTTTATATAGCAAACCGATAAATACCAATAAATAGTAATTATGTCAAGAACAATATGCATTCTATTTACATTAACCTCTTCTCGCGCCAGACAACAATAACTTTATCTACTCAAATAAAATATGACTCAAAACAATAAGTTTCCAATAACAATTGCATAGACATGATAAATAAATACATATTATAGATTAACGTTAGAATAATATGATTGAAAAAAAATTTTTTTTAATTCTTTATGATGAGTACAATACATAAATATTGGAGAAATTAGTATTAAATTATATATAAATTATATAATTATAATTAGATAAGTACTTACGATCTGTATGTTTGTTATTATCACATTTCATAGTGTTGATTCCTACTTCGGCGTGATTTCTACTCCATTTAGTTTCTGTAAACTCTACCAGAGGATCGAGGTTTTCGCCTCGTTCTAAACTTGCTACTTCTAACGCTAAGGATTGAAACAATAATTGCTTAGTAATATTAGTGAACTAATAATATACGTAAATTCACATAGAAAAACACATATAAAATTATTACTGTTACAAAACATGAAATAATTTATAATGTTTCATCTCATACGTTCCGTTTGGCTCGATAATTAAAATAAAATTAAAAAAGGGCTTTTTTAAAGTAATTACCGCAATTTGGAAGCCAAACGGGACGTATGTGACGAAACATTATTAAATTTTTACCTTTTTATTGCTGGGGTTAGGATGTTAGCCAAAACGTATGGATTCAAAATAAATTAAAACAAAACATTCATACAATTTTTATTGATCTAACGCCCGATCTTTAAATCTAATACTATATAAATATATATATATATATATATATATATATATATATATCCTAGAAATTGATTAACCATGAAATATTGAAGAACAGTTGTGCAATTATTTTTACTTGATTTGTTAGAGGAATAACTACAGCAACTATCCATCTCTATTTTGTTAAAATTTAATAATTGGATTCCAAAAATATTAATTTAAAAAAAACTGTTACAATAATCCTTCATCTGTTCTACTATCTATCTTGGACCAAAACTTACAAATAGTTCATAGAAATAATTGATTAAAAATGTCTATAAGGAAATAGTTTGATTCGAAATAGATTGTTTGATTCAAAATGGTAATTTAACCATCGATTATTTGACGCATTCGTTTGGTTGGATTTTCTAAAATTTCTACCTATTCCATAAATTCTGTTTGGCAATGACTGAAAAATATTTTGCAGGCGAAAAACTATACAAAAGTATTGTATTGATTAATATTTCGAAGGGCATTTCTCTAAATGATCTAATCTTGTAAGCACTCAGTCAGAAAGATTTTGGATGTCAAAAATTGTATACAGTCCTTAAGTGACAAGAAAAATATTCCATAGTTTATCAGCTCAGTCTCACTTATTAGTAAATTTCAGTTAAGGGGGTCTTCCTATGTGACGGCCTGTTTTTTAGGGATATTTTAGAATTTTTTTTCTTCGACCAGTAAATATTTAGAGCTTCAAGTTTCTTATCATTTATTAACACATATTTGGACAGTATAAATATAAAATTTCAGCTAAAAATATTCAGTCAAACTAGAGTTACAGCGCTCTGAACACCCTTGCCTCGAAAAAAAGAGCTCCCACTTCCTCCACGATTCCGGCTGATCGGCTTATCAGAAAAAAAAAAATAAACGGCGTTTTAATTTGTAGGCTTAAAAGCACGGAATGAACTATAATCAAATGAATATAAAAAAAACTGGATTTTTCAAGTTTCTTATCATTTATTAACACATATTTGGACAGTATAAATATAAAATTTCAGCTAAAAATATTCAGTCAAACTAGAGTTACAGCGCTCTGAACACCCTTGCCTCGAAAAAAAGAGCTCCCACTTCCTCCACGATTCCGGCTGATCGGCTTATCAGAAAAAAAAAAATAAACGGCGTTTTAATTTGTAGGCTTAAAAGCACGGAATGAACTATAATCAAATGAATATAAAAAAAACTGGATTTTTGATAAACATTTGAAATAAAAGTTGCAAATTAGGCTTTTTTTTGTTTTTTGCTATAAAAAAATCGAAGTTTTGAAAATTTTCAATTGATAATAGTTCATTTCATGCGTTTAAATATATTGAGTGTGCCCTGTAAATTTCAAGTAATTCGGTCCAGCCGTTTCTGAGATACAATGGAGGAAAGTTTGAAAAACACAGTTTTGAGAAAAACGCGTTTAAAGATAAAATGATCGTTGTACTATATACTATATGTATACTTTTTAAATGGCTGTAAACTATTTGAGATATCGATTTGAAATTTTAATATGTTATTTTTAAAGGTTTAATCTACCAAAATATGAAAAAAGAAAAAAATCGATTTTTTCAACCCATCACATAGGAAGACCCTCTTAAAGCAGTAAATATCATACACATAATGTTTAATAAATGACTTACCAAAATCGGCTCTATTATAAAATTGTGGACATTGATGGCCGAATCGTTCCATTGTTTCAACCATGTCACCAAGTGGCCCTAGGTATATAATTCGGCCCGCACTAAGTACCAGTATGTCGTCGAAAAGTTCAGTCAGTCGAGATGATGGCTGGTGTATCGCGCAGATGATGGCGCGACCACCCCGAGCTAAGCTTCGAAGATGGGTCATTAGCTGATAGGACGAAACGCTGTCGAGGCCACTGTCGTAGGAAATAATATACGAACATTTATAAATAATCAAATTTTTATGGTTCTTTTTAAATTTGTACCTAAAAAGCATTAACGATCTATGAAAACATCTTCCGTTAGTTCTAGATATCTAATATTTTACTTTTATTAATTTCCCGTGGGGTAAGTTATAGTAATCGCAAAAAAACCGAAAATGAAAATTTTTATATATCTTTACGTTTCAGAGGTTTCTGAACATTTTGGCATACCTTAGAAAAAATGGATGTATCAACCGATGAATGGATCAACCGATTTTAATAATTCAAAAAACATTTTACTTGTATTGACAAGATAAACAACTGATTAGATTTTCATAAAGGCAGGTCTAGTGGTTTCGGAGATCTAGTAAAAAAGTAAAAAAAATGCCATTTGGCGCTCAAAAATGATCATTAGACATATGCACATCAAATTATCAGATATCTTATAGAGATTTTAACAATAAGTATAAATTTTGTTTACATTCCTATGGGTTCCGTACCAATGTTTATCCGTTAGACGGCGACGCGGCGCTTACGCGCTTCTATATTTCGTCTCTATGCAGTTGAAGCAGTACGATTGCTTTGAAAAAAGTTCAGAACTTCCAAAATATTTCAAAATCAAGAAAACATTTTTTTTCAAAGTTTTTTTTTTCAACAAAAAAAAAAAAAATTCAAAAATTTATAGTTTCTCAAAAATCCAGTTTTGTCAAAGTATATTTTTTTTCAAAAATGTTAAGTTCCAGCAATTTGCCGTAAGGCACGATGCCATGCGCCCCACTAGTTATTTTATTATTAAAGAAATAAAATAGAAATTAAAAAAATTAACGTACTTTTTTATACAATTTCAATGACAAACTGTAAAACAGTTTAAAAAATAGAGGGAGGGGCGCTGAAGATTCTAGCAACGGTCCTGTATATGTTATATATAATAAATAATGTAAAATATATACATATACGCTGCATTTTGAAACATATTGTTCTTATCTCGCATAATACGCTTTCTCGTAGAAGACGTGCTTTTGGTCCGGTCACTGGAAAATTGTCTCAACAAGGTTATATATATATAACATATATATATATATATATATATATATATATATATATATATATATACCAATGCATGTTTGTATGTATGTACCGAGTAAGAGAAAGAGAGTACGTACTACGTATACACGTGCATGTGTCATATCTCTAGTTAGTCTATCTATATATTATAAAATAAATCGTAATTGCAGTGTTAACGATTAAATACATACATATTTGATTTTATATTAATTAATCGCAGTTAAAAGATTTTCTTATTAATGAAATGAATGATTTGCGAAAATATAAGATGTTCAGATTAAATATATTCGAACTATGGAATTAAAACATAAAGATCATTTTGTTTCATATTTAATTTTTGCGGTTAAATAATAATATTAGAGCAATTATTTAGGATGTACGTAAATGATATTATTTCACAATCCAAAGATTTTTAATCTACGATTTGCATATGAAACCTTTTTTCAATTTCAATTAGCAATGTGGCGATTCTATATTTCATTTGAATTTAGTTTTGATTTGAAAACAAAGATAATAGCATTCAAGCATTAATTATAAATGTTCGTTTCTGATCCGTGTTCGCTCTGTAAAAAAATATTTACCATGTCCATGGCATTGTAACCTTGAACTTATATTTTTATTGTATAATTTAAATGATATAAGATAAACATTATCGAGAATTTTTCTATTTATGTTTATATACATTTTATATGGCCGTTAGGAAACATAAATGGTATAATAAACATTTTTGGTTTCTTAAATATTAAAAGGATTCCCACTAGAGCTGCATGCCTTTTAGAATGTATAATTTAATACATATGAATTTTCAAATTTTTGCATACATTTCAAATTTCGTTAAGTTGTTGTGCACCATTTATCATAAAAATAGAAAAACTATAAATTAATCATAATTTTTTCTACATAATAGAGAATTTTTCTCTACATTTCATATTAACAGTCCTAACTATTTTAAATCTAAATATTTGACTAAATATGAGAGTCATTCAGATGTAAATGACATTTTGAAGTTTTATATATATATATATATATATATATATATATATATATATGTATATATAAATATATAGGGGAAGAAAATCATTAATGCTGTAGTGCTCTCATACCATGGACTTGCCTTCGGGCAGACTACTATTTATTATTATTATTATTATATATATACATATATATATATATATACATCCATATATTTATATATATTAGTGTGTACAATTATTTACCTAGTGGGTTCATCAAAAAACATAATTGGCGGATTTGTCACCAATTCGACTCCAATTGATAATCTTTTTTTCTCGCCTCCAGAAATGCAACTAACTCGTGTGTCTAAACATTTTGTTAAGTTTAGCAATTTTGCAATGTCATCTACCTGTAAAATTTTGGCAATTTCAAAAAAATGAATATGTTTCATATACCTACAGACTTCACATAATGCATTACTAAAATAACATTCATATTTTTTATAAGGCAATTTATTAGAATTGCAAATAAATTAACTATTTTGATATCTTTGGAGTTGAAGAACTTTAGATCATTTTAGCATGATTGTTTATAGAGTATATGTATTATGTTAGTATTTATTACATTGCTATGTTAAGGACCGCGACTAATGTTAAAAAACATTCGATTCGATTGACAATACGGTTTATGCGAGTTTATTTGTTTTTTATCAACACTAAAACGTTCAACTTAGTGCTAATTAGTTATTGCATTAAGTCGATCATACTAAAAAAATATTTCAAAATAAAATTTTTTGGTATCAAAAATTGTTTTAGCCAAATAGTTATTCGCTTACAAGAATTACTATTTTAATTGAAATAATAATATCATTAAGGTTCTGTAAGATATTTCTAATGTTTACTAAATCATTCAAGTTATGATATCAAGAGTAATTGGCTTATTTGACTTATGAAATTACTATTATCATTTAAACATAAAAAAAAATTATTAATTTTAATTAAATGTATAATATTTTGCTATGTAATTAAATGTATAATCGCTATGTATGATAATAAATCATAAAAATATTATCCAGTTGAATAATTAAAAGTCACGATTGACTGACATTGCAGCGTGGACAAGCTTCTTGCAAAATAATCGAAATTCCAGCCTTGAGATGTTGTTATCTCATGACGGTGGAAATCTAGGCATACTACAGAATCTTATCATCCATGTATAAACTAGCTGTAAGTGGAATTCTGTCTTAACGCAATTAGGGCATCGTGCCTTAAGGCAAATTGCTGGAACTTCCCGTACCAAAAATGATTATTTTTTTTAAAAACGAATAACATTTTTAAAAAAATTACTTCGAAAAAATAAGATTTTTGAGAAACTATAAATTTGACAAAAAATTACTTTTTTTTGAAAAAAAAAATTGAAAAAAAAAATATTTAAATTTTTTTTTTTAAATCTTTTTTTTTGAAAAAAAAATGTTTTCTTTATTTTGACATATGTTGGAAGATCTGAACTTTTTTTCAAAGCAATCGTACTGCTTTAAATGCATAGAGACAAAATATAAAGCGCGTAAGCGCCGCCTCGCTGTCTAACGGGTAAACATTGGTACGGAACCCATAGGAATGTAAACAAAATTTATACTTATTGTTAAAATCTCTATAAAATATCTGATAATTTGATGTGCATATGTCTAATGATCATTTTTGACCGCCAAATGGCATTTTTTTACTTTTTTTGTTATATCTCCGAAACCGCTAAACCTGCCCTTATAAAAATTTGATCAAATCTTCATCTTGTCAATACAAGTAAAATGTTTTTTGAATTATTAAAATCGGACGCTCCGTTCTATTAAAAACTGAGGTACCGTTTTTGGCACTTTTTGCCCCATATCTTCGGAACGGCTAGACCTACCTCCGCCAAAAACTAATCAGCACGTCTCCTTATCAATACGGATCGAATGTTTTTTAAATTATTCAAATCGGTTGATCGGTGTTCCCGAAATCGTCGACGAATATTTGTATCCGCACATACATACACACACGCACACACACACACACACACATCCATTTTTTCTAAGGTATGCCAAAATATTCAGAAACCTCTGAAACGTAAAGATATATAAAAATTTTCATTTTCGATTTTTTTGCGATTACTATAACTTACCCTACGGGAAGTTAATTAAGAGAAAATATGTGCGTTCTTTATATATATGAGTTTTACTCAAACGCTTTGATATGTTCTTTTTAAATTAAGACTTTATTATTTTTGCGCTTTGTTCTTCCTTAAGGAGTGCCAATCAAGTCAAAATATATAGAATAAAAGAATTTATTATGTTTTGTAACATTTTCTCAAAACGCAGCATTTTACTTCATAATCTTCGGATTAGAATAGTATAGTATTATAGAAGTAGCGGACACAAATTTCTAAGTTTCATGAGGGTTATGGGTATTTCTAAAGTTGCCAAAAAACGCTTGTTTTAATTTTGTGCCTTGTATGGTTTCTATACTTTATGAAAATATTAATAATAGTATCTGGCATACATCTATGTTCCACATATAAGGTATGATTTACGGGGAACAAGGAGGTTCGCAGTACTGTATTGAGATGATCTTGAATCTATAAACCGTGCTTACACAATATGATTGTCCATTGTCTTGTAAAGAGTTTATTACTTCATACGGAATATTTCACAGCATATTTCATCATAGTTTTTTCTTTTTTTTACACATGCAGATATTATACAGAAAATATAAATCTTTACTACATCTCAAAAACGTCTTTTAATGAATGTCAAAACTAAACGTAGAAAAGCGAATATGTAACGTAATATGTCGGTTATTTATTGATCGTTTTTAGCGATTTTACGTCAATAATTCATTTTCAGAATAAATTTGAATTCATAATAAAGTCGAATAATATATTTGCACAAAATGTTGTACCTACTTTATAGTATATTGTTATTTTGCAAGTATCATAAAGTAAATCTTAAGACATTTTAAAATATTCAAAAAATATATATTTTGTAAAATTTTGAAATAATGAACTTAATTAAACTTTATTGTACAAAGTTTCTTATTATGTATATAATATAATTTATGAAATGGATTTCAAAATCCTTAAAAATCCGTAAAAAAGTTTTAGATATAAGATACGTCTTTTGTCTTTATTAACTACATAAACTTTCGAAAGTAAATTCTAATAATTCTCATGTCATATTAGTGCGGAATCAAATTGTCAATTTTAATCTCATATTTTGAAAAGCCAATGGATTCAGAGCATTAAGAATATGAATCGATTACATTTTTTTATGGATCAAAATCGGATCCACCGTTCTAGCCAAAATGAGGCATATCATTGGAAATGCCAAAAGCATCAAAAGTTCTCGAAATAATCATGATTTCAATAACTTATTGGAGTATTAATTCACCTTGTAGAAAGTTAATAAGTAATTTTATAAGAAGCTCAATAATATAAAAAGAATCTTAAAAATCAAGGCAGACTGAACCAATATTGTATTCTAACAAAAAATGCAATAATTTTTTTTAACTTCCGTAGAGTAGTTATAATGGTAATTAGTAATGGCCCGAAAATCGAAAATGGAAATTTTTGCATTTCTCCACGTTTTGAAGGTTTCACAAATATTAGATAATGTTACAATATTTATAGTAATCTATTTGAAAACATTTAATATTCCTCGAACATTTCGTTACGGTACGGGAAGTTCCAGCAATTTGCCTTAAGGCACGATGCCATACCCCACTAGTTCTGCTTTAAATTGGAAACAGTGTTCAAAAAATTATAATATATAGAACTACATGAAGTTAGCAATTTAGAAAGACAAATTCGCAAATACCTATATTATAGATATAATAAGAACAGGATTTCTATTGTGTTATGAGATGTTCATTTGTTGAATTGGTTCTTACCATCAGTTTTTTACCCGATTTTCTTGTTTTCAATTTCAGTTCTGCTGCCAACATGAGAGTTTCTCTCGTTGTTAGTTGGTCCAGCATTGCCGCATCTTGGGTTATATAACAACAGGCTTTCCTAAAACCCGTTTTATCTAATGTCACATTTGCTCCATTGAGACGTATTGAACCTTGCACGCCTGTTTCTCTAATAACAATAAAATGTTTATGCTCAGAGATAAAAATATATATTGAAAAAGAATCAGACTATCTTTAATTTATTCAGTCAACATAGGTCAAATAGAAATACAAATGTTAAAAGACGACATTATAAAAATATATATTAACGGCCGAAGTACATATTTATTTGTCTGAATATTAGCATTATCTGCAGCATTTTTTACAACACATAACACTTGCTTATTTAGCACAATAAATATTAAATTTAATCAGAAAGGAGGCGGGAATAGCTCACTCAGTAGCGCTCTCGACTCACACGCTGGAGGAATTCGGTTCGGATCTTCAGCAATACCAGAATTAAAAATATAAAATATTAAAGTAGATTAAAAATTGTTCATTTGTAGAATACAAGAAAAAATTGTATTAGAAGTAAGAAGGAAAAAAGAAGTTTTGTTTAGAAGATGAGAAGAACATATTGAGAAACAAGAAGAATGAAAATTGAATAGAATTGAAGAAAGAATGGACGATTAGGATATAAGAAGAGATAGTATATATATATATATATATATATATATATATATATATATATATATGACGAATGTATAAGAAATATATAATATATATGTAAGAATTGTATAGAATATGATGAAAAATAATATGAATAATGTAGGTGGCTAAAAATGCTGTAAAGCAGAGGCCAATAATATTTAAAAAAAAATCAAAAAGGTGTTAAATATCGTCTAATGTTTTTTTTATAAATCTACAAAGAAATTGTGTTTTATTCTTCCGACATTATAAATCGTTGTTAAGATATTTTATTTCATTTTATACCTGAACCCCGATAGTATATTGAGCAGAGAAGATTTCCCTGCACCTGATGGACCTAGTATGGCCACGAGTTTTCCTGATGTAAAGCATCCCGAGACTCCTTTCAGTATGCACACTGATTTTTTTTCTGAAAAGAATATAGCTATTAGTTGTTTTTTCTATTATTAAAGGCAGTTAAAAATATAAGTGTGAGATTAATATCATTTTATTGAAATTTATTAGCTGTGCAACTTTTCTTTATGATTTTTTTATTTTTGATTATTCTTAATAGATGACGTGTGTCATAAAAGATATCCATTACTAATGAGCAATAGGTGCTTCTAAAAATAACTATTATAAAGAATGCTATAATTTAACCAGTTAACAATGCGCACAGTTTTGGTTCGTTAGAATCGAACTATGACGAACATATTCGTCAGTCATAGTATTATGGTTAAAAGAAGCATATATTACATACGTGTTAAACTAAAAATAGATTAAATTCAATAAAATATTATACTTGCAAATGTAAAAAAACCTAAGAATAGCTTCAATGAAATGCAAAAACTATTTTTGAAGTGAACAGTAGCAAATGTTAAATAAATAGCTATTATTTAACTTTTTTATGGCATTTGACTGTGTGGTTATTTAGCTTAAATAAGACTAGTATTTACACATATCGGGATGTTCCTACAACTTTTCTTATAAAATGCGTCTACTTATTTTATACCGGTGTAGCCACCTTGAAATTTAGAATATTGCTTTTTTTTAATCGCAATTTAAATAGCTAATGTTTTATACGCATAATGAGTATACTTATCAATACACAAAATTCTGACACTTTACCATGACGAGTAAATTCGTCAATCACAGTTAATTGGTTAAATGAAATTCTAAATATCGATTGCCGATTGACGGTTGATTTATATGCCATATTATGATTTAATTAGAGCTTTGTAGCTGTATCTGAAAAATATTTTCAAGAAAAATGGAAAACAATGTAATCCATCGTCAAATTTTGTTCAATTGCTATTTCAGCGTCTCGAGAACCATCGAATTACAATCTATGTAAAAATAAAAAGTTTCCAAACTCTATTTCCTTCAGATTACAGGAAAAGCAACTGTGACTGATAAAATTATTAAAAATTTAAAAAAATAATAATAAAAAATTGAATAACATTAATTAATGACTAAATGACCGTAAGGCTGAATGCTAATCAATCAATCAAAAATATTTATATCAAATATTAGTATTAGTTTTTATGAGGGCCGGCCGTGGTCCCGTGGTAAGAACGTGGGCTAGCAAATCCTAGTCCCGGGTTCGAATCCAACCTCGGTCGGTTCGGTATCAAAGCAGCTTGATACCAAATTTTCACTTGAAATCATAGATTTCAAATATGATTTCAAGTGAGAATGGCCTTTCGTGGGCATAGCTGTAGTGGCAACATGCCACTTGGAAGTAAAAAGTCATCACTATTACAACAATTGTAATAATTCAGCACATAGAGATGGGACAACTGTTTGGGTTGCCATCTATAATAATTGTAAGATAATCGATCACAACAGCTCATAGAAGTCATAAGTTCTGATCGCTGTTAAAGAATTTAAAAAAAAAAAAAAGTTTTTATGAACTACCTTTTCTGTCGCATCTTGTATAACGAATACTTCGAAATGAAAAATTGATTTCATCCTGCTGTTTCTTGATGTTATCACTTTTCAGTTCCTCTAAATTCATTTCCATATCTTTAGTCTTCATTTTGATAAAAATTTGTCCATGCACAAATTAACGATCACATATTTTTCACAGAACTTCTAAGCATCTCCGTTTGAGCCACTATTATTGTCAGTATTTTTTTATCACTTCATTAATTCACGTTTGTTGATTATTTTATTATTACCTACTCGATAAGATAATATTCAAAATAAAGAAATTACTTTTTTAGTAACATTGGCTTATCGCAATCTAATTATATTTTTTAAAATATTAATAATTTTGATATATTTTATAACATTTTATTTTATTTATAAATTATGAAGAGTGTGTACTACTGTTTAGTAAGTTTAATGCATGTGTTAATGAAAATAAACAGGTAATTTATAAAGTAAAATTTAAAAAAATATAATTTAAAATTTTATAATATTTTGCAAATAAATAAGTGTGCAAAATTATAATTGATTATTTGTCAGTAGATCATTCATTTTCAATTTTGCGTCAAAAGATTTATCAGAAATACTCGTATTTTATTTATTGGGTTAGTATGATAAATAATTTGCGATAACTGCAACTACTTTATCTTTGAAAATGCATATTTGTTTATAATTAACTTCCCATAGATTGCGATCGTAAATTCGAGAAAAGATCAATATTCAGATCTTCCAGCCTTATTTACGTTTTCGTGAAAAAGACATTGATCTTAACTTAATTTTAAATTAAAGAAATACTTAATTTATTATGTGGTTTTTGCGAGGACCTTACAGTCACATAAATCACATTATAAGAAAACAAAAGTTTATTTCTTTTTGTAAAAAATTCAAGTCTAACTAAGTTTTTCCATCAGATTAATTTTACAAATTCATTTGACTTTGTATACATTTTATTTTATCTTACTTGATAGTTGTTTTAGTAACGATTTAAAGTTTCATAAGTTCATCGATTACGATTTTTAATTTATTTTTGATAATAATTATATGTTTCTACAAACAAGAAAACTTAGCCACGTTAAAAAAAACTTAAAATATACATATATGAATGTCTACATGTACAAATGCAGATTATTTTCGTGGGCAATTTTAATGGTTATTAGTTAATCGACTTAATCAATGAGAATTAATGACAACTTTTTAAATTATCACTATAAAATTTCCAAACAAACAAACTGCTCCCTTCGTAGGTAAGTTAAAAATATTCAAATAAGTAAGAATTTGGTATACACGCCTTGTGGAAGTTTATGTGTGTACCAACCTAAAAATATTTAAACTAAAACGGGAAGTTTAAATAATTTTATATAATAATGTATATTGAAAACACGCACATAATACAAATTAGTTATTTAATAATTCTATCACGTACGATGCGATTGCAATCAATGTTTATACGTATAAATTATTCGAAGCCTATTTAAATGTTAGCAAGGACAGGTGTGCACGGTGTGCATTAAATTGTTTATTCTTGCACAGGTATCTGCATATTGCAATTATCTGCTATGTTTACGTTTATGTTTATTGAATTTTTCCTTTATTAAAATACAATATGAATTAGTTGTAAGAATATATTTAATGAATATTAAAGTGTAACTTTAAGAAATCCAGAGACATTTTTAATCTTGCCTGTAATTAGTATATGTACTTAAAAGATAATTCCATTCATTACATATATTATCACTTTAATTCACGTTGATCTTCTAGAAGTGTCTTGAAATTACTTATTCCTTGAATGTATTCAGGACTGTGCTGAATGATGACATACATACAGTTTTGAAACGTACAAAATAAATAATTTCTAATATTTATCGTTTTGAATTTTAGCAATGCAGCTACAAAACTTTCAAGAAATATTTCAACACCGAATACAAAAACATAATATATGTATATAGAAATCGAAATATGTTTTATATACATATAAGTTTGAACAATCTTAGTATGCAAATTATTTTGATACTTTAGTGGAAAATTTCCTTACTTATTACTATTACCAGTAAAAAATAACTAAACCATGAAAACTGGTTTTAATACTTTCACTATCGGATAAAGTAAATCCAAGCAACGCGGTCAATGCGTCTGGTTCAAATTGTAGACAAACATTCTACAGCCAATCATTATTTATTAACAATAATGAGTAATATAATAAAATATTTAGAAATTATGATTATATATAAAAAACATTTGTGGCAGAATCAGCAACTTTTGATGCGTGACGAATGTAATGGTTTAATTGTATATTGTTCCAAAAATTAAATTATTCGGTAAACATTTTTATTAAATGAATATTAAATAAATTATGATTATTTAGGTTAAGAGTTACGCATGTCAAATTAAATTAATTTATTACAATTATTATTTTATACATGCACGCATATATATATATATATATATATATATATATATATAAATATATATGTGTGTGTGTTTTTATTAGCTATTGATATATATATTTTTAAATTAAACTTATAACACTTGTACTTTAGGTACTATTAAAAACTTTTGCAAATTTTACTAATTAATTATTTTAAAATTAAATGTTCACCATGCTTATTTTTTTTCTAAAATAATTATTCAATATTAAACATGTAAGAAATCACAACGTTACACTTTCTAGATCTAAACACAATAGTATACTGTTCAGCACATGTCTGCAAAATCACGCTCTCGCATTTCATCTATATTTTTTTACACTTTTTGCATATATCAGTCTACTCAAAATAAACAAAGAACAAATTGTTGAACCACGTTAATTTTTTTTTTTTTTATTAAATATTGTTATGAGTTTTTATTGCACGTTCACGATGCGATGTTGAGTTGTGACCGTTCAATTCAAAACTGTGCTTTATCGTCAGCTGTGTGGGAATCAAGATCTATCTACAAAGGTCACTTTATCCTCATGTCAATTGATAGTAGCTCGTTTAATTGTATGATGAGTAAAATCATATCACGAATGAGAACAATTGCACCAATTGAGAACAACAATAGTGTTATTCATTGATAACGGTATTACGATGTTGTCCTTCATTTTTGGTCGTTGCGTAAAATGTTATCAATTCCTGTTGTGTCAATGACAACCGAAATATAAAAACCTTTTCTATTAGTATTCGAAGATTTTCACTTGTGATCATATTTGGAAATCTATGACCATAAGTAAAAATCTGACGCTATACTACTTGATATCAAGCTGGGTGAAGTGGCACGGGCTTCCGGTGTTAGGGTTGCTAACCCACGTGTATTACCACTCAAAGTGGCAGGCTTGTATTGGCAGACTGATTAAATGCCCACTCGAAAGGTACACGGATCGAACCTTGTACTGTGTTCACAAAATGTTTATATACATATTTGAAAATTGTACTTGTATTACTGAAGAATAAGATATTGAAATATTAATAAAAATATATAAAAAATTAATGTTTTGGAAAGTCATGCAATAGATTGGAAAATAATGGTGTAATGGTCAAACGCGGCCAATTTCGGGCACTGTTATGCGAAATGGCAATGGGACATCTCTCACACATTTTTCCCTGAATCTAGTTGGAGTTTAACTCATCTCACGGATCTGCTCCAGACAGTACTACCCATTATATTTATTTATAAACATTTAAAATGTTAGTGTCTAAATGCTACATTAAAATCCAAAATAAAATGTCAATAAAACACTAACTACGTTTTTTAAACTATTTAGTTTTGAAATTATAGATTTAAATTATTTATATAATTATATCAAACTAAATAAATATGAGTAACCCATGCGCCATATTTTTTTTTTTTTTTGTCTTCTGAGATTATGTTACTATAAAGCAGCGGTGCAACATTGTGATTTACTAGTTTATGAAGAAGAGCCGTAGATTTTGTTATTAAATGTCTTTAAAAATGTGATATTAAGATAATTGTGCAGAGTCTGGTTTTCATGAGCGGGCCGTTAGGTGTTATTATAGTTTTGTTCGCCAAATCTTTATTTTCGAGAGCAAATTTTTAAATATGATCGATGAGCGAAGAGAGTTTCCTAGCTCGATCTGGATTTAATTTGTTTAATTTTTGTATGAGTGTTAATTGCATTTGTGTACGAGTCACTGATTAAAAATCAGAGTTAATGATATTATTTTCATTTAAAAAATCAAAATTTAGGAATGTTGTTAATATCTCACAATAATTAGATTATAATTATAATCTATAGAGATAAAATTATGTTTGGATTGCATTTTTTTATAATTAAAATATTAGTTTAAGTATTTGGAAATCAATTGTTAAATAAAAAAGAATTAACCGAACGTTGTATTAGTAAATGTTACATCTTAATTAATTTTATTCAATAAAAAAAAATTGAGTTTGAAAACATTCAACCCTTTCTAAGCACATATTCAAAAAAAAATTATTACTTTAAAAGAAAACATATTTCAACAATAAATTCAAATTATTGTTTTTGTTATTGGTTTTTCAGTATTCGAAGAAAGAAAAAGGAAAACTATACCAGAAGATGGTTTGGATGGCACAAAACAAATGCGAAAACATATCAAGGTAAATATAATATAATGTGACAAATAAGAACAACACAGACAAATTTAAAAAAATCTGGATAAATAATTTAATTTAGGACATTAATAAACTTTTGGAGGTGAATATAATAATAAATTTATTAAATATACTGAAAATAAAAATATAAAATAACAAATACAAATAAAAACGATTATATAGATAATCTATATTATACAATATGTTTTACAATAAATAAATATTTAATCGAAAAAAAAGATTGCAAATTAGTCTGTTTGATTATTGCCTTCTTGTTCTTCTGCCTCAATAATTTTCCTCAACTGTTCCTCTGCTAAAGCCCTCAGGTCATCCTAAAATAAAAAACACAGTGCATATAATTAAAAGTAGTACATACACAAAATCAATTTTTTGTTCTTTTTTCTAAATATAATCAATAATTGTTTTATGTTTTAAAATTTTAATTTAGTTTTTCCATATTTAAAATATAAATTAAATTCCAATAAGTTCATGAAATATGTATTTACATAAAAATTTAAAACAATCAATTAATTACCACATACCTCCCATCCTAATTTTGAAGCCAATAATTCAGCACCATCATCGCAAGTACCTTGCCAAAAAACATCTCGTCCCCCTTTTTCTTTATTGAAGTTTAATCCTCTATATATACCTAACAATCGTAACATTCTATCCCCTTCACCACATTTATTTAAATTAATCAGAAGTCTAGGACAAGTGTCAGATACCATATCAATCAAGGAAGCAAAAGGTTGAACAACCAAAGACGATCCCATGATTATTAACAAGTCACATTTGCTGAAGTCTTCATCTATTAGCCTATGAAACCTTTCTGGCAAATTTTCACCAAAGAACGTTATATCAGGCTTGACCACTTCTCCGCATGTACAAGTTGGAATCTCATCAGAAAATATTTTCTCTAGAAAATAAAAATGTTATCAAAGGCTATTCTCATAAAAATTAATATATTGAAAAAAATAATCTTCTTCTGTGATTAGTAATTACAATGAGCTTGTTATTTTAATTAATAAGCACTATATGTTTCATAACATTTTCAATTAACTGCTTTAAAACACTTTCTTTTTTTGGAACAAAATCGCGCATCAACTTTTAGAATATATATAAATAATTAATATTATAATACAAAATCTCTAATACATTGTTAAACTAGAAACTTACTTTTCATCCAACCAAGGGTATATTCTTTCCTACAACCGATACAATGTGATTTGTAGAATGAACCATGAGCCTCTACCATTTTATCTTCATCTAATCCAGATACTCTCTCCAAAGTATCTATATTCTGAGTATAATGTCTTAATAACAATTTCTTTTCATTCAATAGTTTAATAAAATAATGGCAAATTGTAGGCCGAAAATTACCAGGGTATAACTCTTTTGCTAAGGAAAAAAATGGCTTGGGATTTTCACTAAAGTAATCAATATCAAAAATAGCTTGTGGATCAGGCAGGTTATACTTTTGTAAATTATCATAAAGGCCAGAGTTTGGTGATCGAAAATCTGGTATACCGGCTGCTGCAATTATGATGTTCATTTCAATAAAAAGGTATATATTTATATATATATATATATATATATATATATATATATATATATATATGCTTATTTACTTACACGTAGAAATTCCTGCTCCAACCATTGTTATTATATTTTTACATTTTCCACTTTTAATATATTCAACCACACCCTCAATTGTAACTTCTGATAAAACCTGTTAAACAATGGTTGGAACATTATACATGGGTGGTATATATATATATATATATATATATATATATATATATATATATATATACTTATTATTATTATATATATACTTTTGTATCCATCATGTAAACTTGTAATTTTGTATCAAAAATTTAGAAAAAAAACTATAAAAACAATCATAATAAAAAATTTGGTTTCCCTTCAATTACAAAAATAATTTTTTAAATACGTCATTTTGTTACATTGTACAAGCTGACACAGTAAGCTATATAAAACAAAAATTAAAAAAATGTTTGTCAATATACTAAAAACAGTTCCCGGTGATATTTTCTACCTGTGGTTCATCTTCATCACTTTCATCTTTTTCATTTAAACCTAATTTGTTAGCAAAATGTTTCATCAAGTTTGATATACTACTCTCAGATTGACCTTGTTCTGGGCGCTCTGAAGACAACCCATCTGTTTCATTAGGCTCCACATTGTTTGCAGCGGCAGACCGCGTTGAATCTAAATAGTATTTGCATTAATATGGTTTTTGCATTTAAAACATTATTACATAAATTTAAAAAAAAATTACTTACAAATATTGTTACTATTTCAAAACAAAATTTTACGGCTAATCAAATTAATGCAAATAAAAATTATAAATGACCTTTGCAGAAATTACATTATTACAAGATAATTAGTAATAAATACTTAAATTTATTGTTGGTTTTATTATTTTATGATATTACATTAATAACCTATTAATTTATATTTATTAGTTAATTCAAGAATTAAATTAAGATTTGAAATTTCACTTAATTAATTTCAATTCGTACAAAAGAATAAAGTTATAAAAATAACATATTTTTCTTTATCTAACACCAACTGAAGAATAGCAATACAAAACAGATAATCTATCATTATGTTAGAGAATGAAATGTATAAGATATATATATATATATATATATATATATATATATATGCATGAAATATATAATACAATACGTATAAATATATTTCTTATAATCTCATATACCAGACATTTGTGTCTGACTTAGATACAGGAAATTTATAACATGCTAATAAAATATCATATTATTAAAAATGAAGATATATATTCAGTTAAATACCATCATTTTGCGATGACATTAAAAACTAAATAACATTCAATGCAGCACAAAATCGTACAAATGTTATTATTATCTTGTCTGTTGTACTTTGTACAATTTAACACTTGACAGATGAATTGATTCAATCTTAGATCATAGATAGCAAACATGTTTATCGAAAAGAGAGGAGGCTATACAGCACAAATATTGATATTTAACCATTATTATTTGGCAAACTTTTAATTATTTACTTTTTTGTATCTTAATCCATGTTAATGCTATTATGATTATATATGTTGTTTAAAAATTGAATCGAATGGCATATATTTATCGAAAATATTAATACTTCTTGCTTGTTGTCACAAGCAAAGTATACCGGTATGAAAACAAAAAGCTTTTATCTATGGAGTTAAGCTTCTCTAGCATGATGCGTGATGTTTTGCATTTTCAATTGTGTAAAATGTTTAATTTTTGGATAAAAACTTAAAATCTGTCGTGCGCTGTGATTGTTGTTTATTATTACATAATTCATAAAATTTTGTTTAGTTCCAATAAGTTTTAATTCACTATCGGCCCAACATTTAACGCCGAAGTGCATCAATTATAAATGTGATTAAAAATTTTAAGGCCCAACTTATAGTGAATTTCCTGTCAGATTCTAATAGAATCTCGACAGATTGGCTTCTATTCCCTCAAAAGGAGAAAAAAATAACTGACAATTGAAGGGAAACAGAGCTCAGTAAAGGTGCCCCTTACAGGGGAACCTGAAGCGGCGGTTCTCTGGCGGAGGCAGCAGAATAAAATGAATGAAGCAGAAGTGGATGATGTCGCTTTCCTCACGGGTAATAAACGAAATTGTTTAGCTTTAGGTAGCTATAATTGAATTAAACGAATATATAGTAAATTTAAATTATAAATAATTGATATTTAACAATCATCAATTATATATATATATATATATATATATATATATATATATATACACACAGTAGAACCTCGATTAACTGGACTAATTGTTGCCGATAGGAATCTGTATAATTGAAAATTTGGATAATCCAATGTATGAAGAATAATGATGTGTATTTATCAAAAATAAAACATATATAGATATCAACAAAAATTAATGTTTAATAAGGAATTAACATTACCTTATGTATGTACATATATATTTTCTTAGATTATATTACATACATATACTAAACTGCAGCATAAATAGTGCAAAAATTCACATTGTACATATATACATACATATATCTCTGTCGCGGTTGGTAGTCCGGGTAATCGCAAATCTGTATAACTGAGGTCTGGATAGTCGAGGTTCTACTATTCAAATATATATATATATATATATATATATATATATATATATATATATATATATATTGAATAGTTTAATTTGAGCTAAAATAAAAAATCATTTTTATTTAGGAGGCGACAATAGCAGCGCAGGGGGAGGTAGGGGGCGTTATAATGAATCAGGAGTAGCAGTTTGTTCATATCAAAGGGCACTCTGTGTTACATTGCTGGTCTTGGCTGGTCTTCTAGCCACTGCTTTGGTGATTGCATATGGTGGACCCCAGAATGGTCAGAACACATCATAGAGAGCACGCTACCAGTGTACCAGTGTCAATTTTGCATGTTTGTTACATTTTATTTTATATTATTTTTATAGAATATTCACATTTTGTGAATTTTATATAATTTGGGTTTTATTAAATGGACACCTGTATTATAAAATTCTAATTAATGCAAATACATTTTGATGCTCGATATAAACACAAAATCACAAAATATTACCACTTCAAATATAGTTTTGACTAATTATGTATGTATATATATATATATATATATATATGTGTGTGTGTGTGTGTTTGTCATAAAATTCACAAAATATATTACATATCGGTATTTAAGTATTACCTTCTCATTACACAGAATATGATGATATTTATATATCTAATAATTAAACAAAATGAATCTTCAAAATCTAAGTAAGAAATCAGAGCAAATATAAGAAAAATGAGAAATGATGTAGAAGTACATTTATCAAGACTCTAATTTATATATTGCTATTTTTTTTTATTCACACATGTGAAAAATATTAATTTCCAACTTTAAGCAGTATCTCTGAATACTGTTGTTTATTATGCAGGTGTCTATGAATAACGGCTTGTTTATTTCTTTTTTGTACTTATATACATTGTTTTTGATTAGATATACATATATATTTGAAGTTACCAAAATGTTTAAGTAATTATATTTGAATAGAATGATTATTACAGTTTTTTTTTTTTGTCTGTTAGTAATGTAGATACTACTAGTGTTTATATTTATTATAGGCCTATATATTTATGCACATACTCACTCACCATCTATATTTGTATGTATGTGTATATATGTATAATATGTAACAGTACATTATTTCTATTAGTATTTTGACAATAGAGTGAGTCCTTAAGAACAAGTTTCAAATCAAATCAACTAATTATTACTGTATTACTGAGATACATTGACTTTCATTTCAAAAGCAAAACTTATAATTCAGTGACTATTTTTCCTCATAACTTTTCAGTTCTTGGTTCTTAATAAATAACATTGCAGACAGAATGTTTATGAAAATACTTTTATTTTATTAATGTAAATGTAATGTAACAATTGTATGGTTAATTTGAATTAAAAAAAATAATAAGGTAAAAAATGAGAAAATTGGAATATGTATGACCTTTTTTATACATGAATATGATACATAGAAATGTTTATATAAAAATTATATTAAACTAGGCTAATCATTTTAGTTATGACTAGTTATGAGGTTAATTACAGATACTTTGCCAGTAAATGAAATATAATGTTAATGTAATTTGTCTGTGAATGTTTTAACAAATATGTAGCTCAGGACAAAATATTCAAATGTTTATTGGAAAGTTACATGTAGCAGCGAATGACAAAAATTTAATTTTAGAATGCAGCTGTGCAGGAAAAATGCCTCCGGATTATGTTCCGGAAGATTGGAACATAACAACTACATCTATACCAATTGCTACTAATGGACAACCATTTCCTTGGCATAACATTAGGCTGCCAAATTTTGTGAGGCCACTAAAATATAACTTAACAATTCATCCGAACTTGACCACTTTTGAAGTCAAGGGTAAGATATAATTACTACTACAATTAGATAGTGAATAACATTTGAATTACCATTTAACTCATTATTCAAAAAAGTTCAAGATTAAATGTATTAATACATTTTTTCTCATTAATATCAGTTTAATATAATTTGTTTTCTTTTTAGGCGTTGTTTCAGTTGAGTTCAATGTGGAGAAAGAAACTAACTTTATTGTTGTTCATTCTAAAAATTTAACTATCACTGAAAAAGTAAGTAATTATTAGAATAAATATTTTTTACATATATCAATAAATCTTTATACTTACTTTTTTATGGTGTTTCAATTATAGGCAGTGCAAGGACCAAAGGGACACTTACTCAAAATTGTGAAATTTTTAGAGTATAAACCAACGAATCAACTTTACATAGAAGTTCGAGACAAATTACGAAAGCGTGCCAATTATACTCTAAATCTTCGTTTTACAAGAAATTTATCGCAAAAATCTGAAGGGCTACACATTGATTCATATGAAGATAATAATGGAATGAAACAGTAAGTATATTATTTAAATACTATAATAACCAAACTTCCATATGAGTTACATTATTTTAATTTTTTATGGAAGTTTGATAAGAGTAGTAATATAGTTTTAACTTTCTCATGATATAACTTTTTAATATTTATTTTATAGTTATTTGACAGCAACATATTTTCGACCTGGCGAAGCAAGGTCAGCTTACCCATGCTTTGATGAACCACATTTTAGAGCCAAAATAAAAATTTTCATAAATAGGGACAGGTTTCACATTGCTTTGTGCAGTACACCTGTGAATGCCACTGAAGAGGCCGGTTTCTATCTTGGAACTGGTCTGGTGAGAAAATTATATTTTTATCATGAATTTTTTTTTGAATCTAGTATTTCATCAATTTTAATTCAATTCAATTTATGTTAAATAACTTATTGATATAAAATGTACTTGATAATATTGTTTAGCATGTTTTCTTTTTAAGCAATGATTTTTAGAATGTCTTATTATTCCATTAAATATTAAATTTTTATCAAACAGTGATATGATAATTAAAATGATTGTTTTTATTTGTAAATAGCTTCGTGATGAATTTCAAGAAGCTCCTCCTTGTGCACCAGGTTCAGTTGGGTGGTTGGTTAGTGATTTTCCTAGAGAAAGTATAAAATTAGCTAGAGGTGTTTCAATAGCAGTATATGCTCCAAAGAATGTGTTAACAGGAATGCATTATATGTTAAATTCTGCTAAAAACTTACTGGAATATCTTGAAGGATGGTTAGGTGTTGATTATCCATTGACTAAATTAGGTAAATGTTGTAATTGTTTCCTCAAAAATTGCATATTAAATTATTTTTTATAAAATTTTAAATCACAAGTTATTTTTATGTAACTGACTTTCTGAAGCTGAGATTACATTTGATTTAATATACTATATTTCTATAGATTTGGTTGCATTAAACTCTATGCATGAAGATCTTTGTGGTTCTTGGGGACTTTTATTCTATCATCAAGAGTTACTATCTGTTCCTGATGAAACTCGTTCCGAAAGACAGCAAGAAGTTGCTACAGAATTATCTGAACAAATTGCGTATCAGTGGTTTGGAGGTTTAGTTTCTGTATATTGGTGGAATGAAGAATGGTTATTCAAAGGTAAAATCTTGTTAATATACTTGCTTAATTAATAATTTTTTAGTTATTTATTTCTATTCTGTTAAAAATTAGGTCTAGTCAAGTTTTTAGGAATGCAGTCATTAGCTTCAGTAGAAATAATGTGGCCTGTCGAAGAGGCGTTTGTTATCAAACATTTGATTCCTGCCATGTGGTTTGTTATTTTTTATACAAGTTAAAGAGTCAACATACACACGAATACATTTTATCTAAATTTATTTATAGGCTAGATGCATTAGCTACAGCAGGTCCTTTGGAAGCTGAAGTCTCGGACCCTTCAAAAATAGATGATGTATTTGATGATTTATCATATAGCAAGGTAAATATATTTAGATCAATGTAACATTATTAAATGTCATTTGATATGAGAAAATAACTAATAATGTTTAAATATTTATAATAATGTTTTCTTAAATGATAAATAGGAATTTATAAATGTGGAACAACTTCAATAAATATACTTTTACTTTGTTATTACTAATGCTGCTTTGCTTGAAGGCAGCTCTCTTTTCCCTCTCACATTTTACTCCTCAGACTTCTGCTTTCTTACCTTCACTTCTTGTGCGTTTCATTTCCAATTTTTCTATTTTTCATTCAGTATGTTTACATATTATATGAATAATAAGTGTTATAGTTAGATATATAAATTGATAATTTGTTAATAGTTGATGATTATATGCAATCATTTTGAGACATGAAATATTGTAACATAATTAACTATTCCAATTACTTTGTAATTTAGGTTTTATTAATTGTGATGGATGTTGCAATATATAATAATAGCTAGTGAAAGTACAAACAATTAATTGCATTTTGATGAATATGAGTTTCAAATTAACATGTAATATTTTACTTTTCTTGATTATTTTAGTGTGCATCATTATTGCGTATGTTGGGATCTGCATTAGGTGAGGGGTCTCTGCATGGGGCCCTTGCAGATTTTCTGGTCAACAATAAGTATCAAGCAGCTGATCAAAATGCATTGTGGTCTTCATTTGAGAAGCATCTTAATTCTAGTGTACCTATTAAGGTAAATAGAGAACAAATAAGAAAAAATATTTGATGGTTATATGGCTACTGGTTAAATTGCATTTAAGAATTATATACATATACAGTATATAATAAATGATATTTTTAAATCACCTCATACACAGTGTTAGCAATGATTGAATGGTTAATTAATTGAATTAACTACAATACATGGAACTTGTGAGTTTATTACTAGAACATAATGAAATGTTTATACATCAATTTTAACAATACAAAATTGATTATAGGATATCTAATTTGAATTTTGTATTTGAAAATAAATACTGTGTTGCTGTCTGAAATTTTACCTTTTGATGGTAGATGCATTATAATTATTGAATGATAAACTAAATATTTTTTTTTTTTTTACTTCCAGTCTATGATGAAATCCTGGACTCAACAATCAGGTTTTCCACTAATCACTGTAACTGTTGATGGAAATACAATAACTGTCACTCAATCTAAATTTGCATTGAAAAAGGCAATAACACCTCCAACAACATTTGATATGAATATTACGCATATATCTACTACAGCTTCAACTCCTACAAAGAGCAAAATTAGCAGATGGGTGATTCCAATTACTTACTTCACTGATTGTAGTAATGGGACAGAAGTAATATGGTTAAATAATACAAAAGGTAAAGAAAAAAAAGGGTTTATATCTTTACATACACACACACACACATATATATATATATATATATATATATATATATACAGTGGCGTTGTGCTAATATTTTTTTTACCATAACGCTAAATTTAAAAAACCGGTTCAAAAACCGGTTGTACTGTTTCCGTTCGAAAAGAAAAAAAAAACAAAAATCATTACAAACCCATTTTTTGCATATATATGTATGTTTATCACATATAATAGGAACATTTAATAAAAATTAGTTAAATTATAAATTATAAATTATAAAATTCACTTATAAAATTATTTTCTGTGTGTAGCGATTTTTTTTTTATTTTCTTTTGCCGGCCAAAAATAATTTGCCGGAACGACGTATATTTGCCGGCTCGACAACACCACTGTATATATATATATATATACACCTAAGTCTGTTTTTACACGGTCTTTTTGTACACGGTTTTGATATAACACGGTTTGAAAATTGAATATTTTTAATTTTTTTACACGATTTTATTCCATTTAGCACGATTTGAAATTTTATGTACTTAATTTTTTTTTGTCAAATTTAATTTTTGCGAAGTATGTTCATATCACAAAAAAGATTTTATGAAAGAAAAAAGTCTGAAACCATCGCTAGTATCGATAGTTTGCGAACACTTGCTTAAAGATTTAAGTGAATTCCCCTTTAGCGCGTACAAACAATTTTTACTGGTCATAGCAAATGTGAATAGCACTAATTTAGGGAAATACTCTAAAAATTCTTGTTTTTCACTAATTTTAATAGATTTTAGGGATTAGGAACGAATCACCCATTTTTGTATAAGATCAATGTCTTTTTTTACACGTTTTTTTTTTTTTACGCGGCTTCTTCTGGAACTAATCACCGTGTAAAAACAGACTTAGGTGTATATATATATATATATATATATATATATATATATATATATATAAATGGTAGAGTCTTGGATTTGTGTATATTTTGTAGAGTTTCGAACAAGAATCCAAAAAGTAATAAAAAACAAAAAAAGTTTAATATTATTATTATTTATTAATATATAATATTATTTAAATACTATTTCTTCATTAATTTATTTACTGTCGACGTTTTGGAACTAGTAGTTTCAAGTAACTCATGTGTGACTTTGAATCAGTTCATTACAAACAGCCGATCTCATAACATCGAGAGAATAATATTGTTTGTTTCAAATAACAAATTTAAAAAAGACAGAACTTATAGTAATTTTGATTTACAAAATTTACCTATTCGGCTGAAAAGTAACTCATAAATTAATTCCTTGATAAAATCTTTTTAGTGAAAAAGTGCTAACGTATATTGAATCATACAGGTAATTAATTCAATTTTGTCATTAACCTCTTCTTAAAACTTCCAAAACTTTCAAATTTAAATCCTGTTATATAATCCACTCATTTATTTTTATCATTTTTATTTTGATCATATTGTCATATTTTTGTACATAATTTTTTCAACTATTTTATTAATTAAAAAATTCATTTTCTTAAACATATTATTTGCTTAAATCATATCAAGATCATGTTTCTTGACAGATGTCCTGAAGATGGAACGTACCTAGTTCCGAAACGTCGACAGTAAATAAATGAATAAAGATCAAGACTTTAGTCTATTAAAAAACATTTTTGTTTTTTATTACTTTTTGGATTCTTGTTCGAAACTCTACAATATATATATATATATATATATATATATATATATATATATTCAACAAATAATTAAAATTTGATTTTTTTTTTTAATCCAGAGTTTATGAAAAGGCATGTTTCAGAAAGCCTCCTTCAAAAAAAATGCTATACAGTAATAATTTTAAGATGTCTTGATGTCTTTTAAGATGACCAAAATGTATTTTTGGCATTAATCTATTGATTGATTATTCTTTTACAGCTATTAATTTTACAATATCATCTGAAGTACATTGGCTTAAGTTAAATTCAGATCAATCGGGATATTACAGAGTTCTATATCCAATTGAATACTGGACAGTATTTGTTAATTTACTGAAAACTGATCATAAAGCATTGACACCATTAGACCGAATGGGATTAATTGATGATGCATTTGTCTTATGCAGGTTTGTGATTATTAAATAAATTCTACTGATACATTTATAAAATATTTACTCCCAAATCTAAAAGAATCCAATTAAGAAAAAACGTATTTGTTTTCTGTATGTACTATAATTTTTGATAAATTTTAAGAATAAAAAATTAATAATTTTTTTTGTTTTATATTTAGGGCTGGTCTTTTAAATTGCTCAGTACCTTTAGAACTTTCCACTTATCTACCCGTGGAAGAAAGTCTTGGTCCATGGCAGGTCACATTGAAGCATTTGACCTCATGGAGACAGCGATTTGCTGAGGGATCTCCATTTCCTATGATTGAACAATTCACACGCAAGCTAATAGCAGAAAAAGCTAGGAGTTTAGGCTGGATTGATAAAGGCGACCATGCAACAAGGTATAGCACACAAATGTAATAACTTTATTTCCTAAAATAATTTCAATATATTTATTGAAAGCATTTTTTTATCATAATGACTATTTTCAGTTTTTTACACATTGTGATATCAGTTAGTTTGTATGAACATATACAATCTAAAATCATATGTGAATATTTTGTACTTCATTGTTCCATTATTATAATATATAATTTACTACTTGTTATTCATAAAAATCATCAAACTTAATATAATTAATTTAGTTTTTTAATCATAAGGTTTAAGCAAATAATTTGAAAAATAATGGAGTGTTTAATTGATCGAAAGATTAATTGTCTTTTTGTTCCTTAATTCATTATCTTTTCAAGTTTGCTTTTCAATTATTTTTCATATTATAACTCACTTTTTGTTATATTAATTAATATAATCATTTTTGCTTATATATTTTTACAGATTATTACGCTCAGTAGTTCTTGCTGCTGCAGTAAACTTTGGCGATGATTTTACACTCACTCAAGCTAAACAAAGATTTAATATATGGAGAATAAATAATACAAAAGTATCAGTTAATCTAAGAGAGGTATAATTATTGTAAAATGTTTATATATATATATATATATATATATATATATATATATATAAACTTTACAAAGTTATTTTAATAATATAATACATAGGTTGTTTATACTGCTGGTGTGTCACAAGGCAGCTTATCAGAATGGCAATTTTGTTGGGATCGTTATCAAGCAATAAAAGAGTTTTATAATTCTACCCAAGAGAGAACTTCTTTACTCACAGCTTTAGGTTCAGCACAACAGCCATGGTATGAATATATATATATATATATATATATATATATATATATATATCATGAAAACTATGGTTTAATTTTATCCATAGGTTATTGTATAGACTGCTAGATTTTAGTATGAATCGGGAACTAGTTCCAATACAAGATGTGAAAGTTATTCTAGTTGCAGTATCAAATAATCCTATTGGAAAATTATTGGCTTGGCGGCATCTAAAGGCCCATTGGAACAGGTAATTTTATATTTTAAACTGAGTCTGTAAGAATATTATTAATTATACAATTTCTACAGCTTCTTATCAGAATTTGGAAATGGAACTCGAGGAATGGCAGAAGTGATTCAAGCTGTTGCACAAGATATGTCTAGTGTATATGATAGAAAGGAAGTAAGTACTAGTGTGCTTGTTTCAGCTTGTATGTGTCTATATAGAATAAAGAATGTGATAATAACATCCAAATGTTCTTCTTAGTTGTCAGACTTACTGTCTGATATCGGCTCAGGATTGGGCGCTCAACATATGGCTCAAACATTGGAAGAAGTTGCTGTAAATGTGCAGTGGGTAGCAAAAGAAATGGAACCTTTAACAGAATGGTTAGAGAGATATCTTGCAACATCTAAAATGTAAAAATCTGTGACAAACTTCATTTTCATAATTTGTAGCAACCGTATTACCGCTTTTAATTATTAATTTCAATATTGGGAATCTTATAACCACTATTTTTGAGTGATTTTTTTTTTTAACATTTACTATAAAAAAACTATTTTTAAAGTGATTACGGCTAGTCAAATTGTAGAAATAAATGATTTCACTTTCGCATTTAATATCTGGAATATAATATTAATGGATTTTATTTTTATATAATACTTCATTGCCAATTTGGTGTAATATAATAAATACAGCATGAAATAAGTGGACCAAACCTTTGTCAATGATAAAACAATGGTTCATCAGTAAAGAGATCATGTAAAATTTATTTCATTATACATTATTGTATTAATTTTTCAAATTTATAAGAATAATGTTTCACTAAAAAATTTCACTAAAACTGGATGAATAAATTTGGAATAGTAGTTTTTGGTCAAAATTCTTTTTTTCAAATATTTGAAAACACTATTATTTAAATTTTTATTTTCATAATAATGGTTTTGAGTGTAAAAAAAACTTGAAATACGTTTTTCAAGTTGAAGCATTATTCATTATAAGAATTTTTTATCTAGGCAGAGAATTTAATAATTAATAATTGACTGCCAAATATATTTTTGTGCGATTATACCATAAATAAATAGGCTTATTTAAATAAGAATGAATACTATATCATCGTCCGTAAATAAATATTTATTACTAGCATAAATTTGATAGTGAAAAGTGTGCTTGAGTATCTTTGTGTCCATGTATGTTGTGACTTTCTGTGAAGATACAATCATTAATTTTTACTTTGTTGCACAGAACATTAATGTATATCATACTTAAAAAGAAATAATTACCAATGCAAAAAATAGATTCATTTTATAACAAAATTTTTGTTTTTGTATATCTTTTTTTGAAGATATGCATTATTACTACACATGGTGATAAAAGCAATAGTGTAACTCAAATGCTGTCTGGACAAAAGTTCAAATATTTTTGAATGTATGTAGTTTTATATTAATGAAAAATATAATAAATTTGTAGTTTTATTTAGTAAAATAATAAATTCTATTGAAGAGAATACAAACACAAATCAATATAATTTTATTTGGATGAATCTTCAAATATATCTGTTTCTGTTTTGCTTTCAGTATTAGTTTTCTCTAAAACATTTTCATTTATAGCTGTCCCATGTTTTTGAACATTGTTTGTTGATGTCTGTTCCTGAACTGTAGGTTTTTCATTTAATTGATTATCTTCTGAATTAGTATTAGACTCATTTTCTATTTTATGTAAATTTCTATGTTCACTGATTTTTTGCTCCAGTTCAACACATGCTTGTTCTATTTCATAATTCTTAGAAACTAAAGCGACCCACTGTGATTCTAGAGCTCTTAATTTTTCACCACCCATTGTTTGTAAAGATTTTCTTTGCCAATTTACTTCTTGGATTTCTTTTCTGTGATAGCAAATCATATAGTAAGTATTTAAATTAAAAAGTAGTTGTACATATGTAGTACACCATAACAGATAAGGCATTTTAAACTATAAAATTAAAGCAAAAGAATGTTAAATATTAAATCACAAAACTGTACCTTAAGGCTTGAAGTTCTCCTTGAGCTGAATTAAGCATATTACTTAAAAATTCCAGATAGGCTTTCCATGTTTCACATCCATATTCGAGCATTAGCTCTAAATTTAATACCCTAGTGGCCTGATGTTCTAATTGAGCTGCTGAATTATCAACACATTCAGACCAAGCTTGATAATCAGATAACTTACCACTTGGTGGTGGTGGTAGCTCATATCTTGAAAGAGATAAAGTAATGTTTTGTCAAATAAATTTTAATGTAAACGTCTCATTTAGAGATTTAAAATAAGATGAGAATTACCTTTTCATACTTAGAGGTTCCATTGGTAGTCGGTTTTGCATTCGTTCGAATTCCGTACGCATTATATCAGTTTCAAAAGCTGTTAAATTTAGAGGTGGTAAATGATCCAAATAATTCTTAGTCGGCCGATATCTTCTACATTCTTCATCAACCATGGACAATGCCTGTTGAACAATAATTATGTATATGAAATGTTTTTTGACGGTTATGTCTGAAGGTATAATACCGCTTCTCGAACGCCAGGGTCGTCATATCCTTGATCAATATATGGTAAAGCATCGACCACAACATCGCCGCTAACGTTTGTCATCATTTTGGTAAAAAATCTGTGTTTATCGTTTTAAATTGAGTTATAATTCTTTGTTGATTTTGTTTGGCGATTTCATCTGTCAAATATAAGGTAGTACCAACATAGAGTAGGCAAACATTTCATTTCTTGCAACATAAGAACTTGAATTTATACAAAGTTCACGCCAATAGGTCGGAGAGTGACAGACTTCCGGCAAGTCTACGATCTTTTCTTTTCACCGTGGCATGGCGGATGGTGTTTTACGGTGTATTCACTTTGATTAGTTTTCGTTTTGCTACAATAAAATAAACATGGTAAGGCGAGAAGTGTTTTATAATTATTATAAATATTGTTGGACGGTTTAACTGAATCGGAATTGAAATTAGTGTGTATTAAATCGTATAAATTAAAATTGCACGTGTTGATGCACACAGCCTTCCGACTAACCAAAAAATAATGTGTTCGAGTGAAAGTTTTTCCTTGCATGTGCACTTATAATGTCCACACGTTTGCTGTTAATTACATTTCGTGTTCCGTAAAAAGTGCAATAATAATTGATGGCTTGGCGTTCCCTTCTGGCAAGTAAATTGTCGGCATGGGGCATAGTCATCATACACCAAAATATGTAGCACGTTTGGTTGCTTTGAATTTAATTAAGATTCCTAATCAAATTTTGCTTGTTTTAGAGTCTTGCAGCGGCTAGACCGCTTGTATCGGTCTACTCTGAAAAGAGTCAAGCTATACCCCAAGCTTCAATTGCTTTGCCTGCAGTTTTCAAAGCGCCTATTAGGCCTGATGTAGTCAATGAAGTTCATGTGTCGATGAGCAAGAACCATCGCCAACCTTACTGTGTCAGCAAGGAAGCTGGTATGTAATTTTTTAATAGAATTGCAATACACTTTTTTCTCAACTTAACTAACGCAATCCTTAATTTTTTACAATTTTAGGTCATCAGACATCAGCGGAATCATGGGGTACTGGACGTGCCGTTGCCCGTATTCCCCGTGTACGTGGAGGTGGTACTCATCGTTCAGGTCAGGGTGCTTTTGGAAATATGTGTAGGGGAGGAAGAATGTTTGCACCCACCAAACCTTGGCGCAGGTAAGCATAAGATGTAAATTTGCTTTGTAGTTTATGCTTCACAGAACATAAGTGTTATTCATATTCAATTAGAATATATATTAAGAAGAAATTAAAAATGGTGGAAGTGTTACTTCGATTAGTGACTTACTTTATTTTGGCCACTGATTGTGTTGTGCATTTCTCATGAGTAACCTTTATTTTATTTGCACAATTTATTTAGTGTTAACTGTTTTGTCCAGAGTTTTCGAGTTTTAAAATGTTTTTAATTTTAGATGGCATCGCAAGATCAATGTGAACCAAAAACGCTATGCTTTGGTTTCCGCAATTGCTGCTTCTGGTGTGCCAGCTTTAGTTATGTCTAAAGGTATTTAATAACTGATTTTATTAATTTTCTGATCTTTGTATTTGCTTTTTTGTTAACTTACGGTTTTTTGCAGGACATGTTGTTGATCAAGTACCGGAATTGCCTTTGGTAGTTTCTGATAAAGTTCAGGAATTATCTAAGACTAAACAAGCTGTAATTTTCTTAAGGCGCTGCAAGGCTTGGGCCGATGTACAAAAGGTAACTTAAAACACATATATTTTTAATTTTCATGCATTTTTACAATGTCCACATGATTAAATGAAATACCTGTTTATTCATGTACAGATAAATGCTATAATAAATGATTACTTGGCGTTTCTGTCTAAATCCTTATTTAGTATGGGGCATAGTATATCATACAACATAAATAAATATATTTATGAAAGTTTATTTTTTGGTCACAATAAATATGAAATTTAAGCAATGTATTTCCTTATCCAAAACTTCATTACATTCAATATTTCAAATGACATTTAATGTCGTATATAATAACACATATGTGACTCTGTAATTTATTCAAAAAATAAAAATTTTACTAAAATGTAGTTTACTAAAATGTAACTTACTTTTCAGGTTTACAAGTCTCAAAGATTCCGTGCAGGTAAAGGTAAAATGCGCAACAGGCGTCGCATCCAAAGACGTGGTCCATTGATCATTTACAACCAAGACCAGGGATTGAAGAAAGCTTTCCGCAATATCCCTGGAATTGAATTAATCAATGTTGAAAGACTTAACTTGTTGAAGTTGGCACCTGGTGGTCATGTTGGTCGTTTCGTGATTTGGACTGAATCTGCTTTCAAAAAACTAGATGAGTTGTATGGAACCTGGAAATCGTCATCAAAATCTAAAGCTGGTTACAATCTACCACAACCTAAAATGGCTAACACTGATTTGGCTCGCTTGTTGAAATCTGAAGAAATTAGGAAGGTTCTTCGTGCTCCCAAGTATGTACTAGTTAATTTTTTATTGCTAATGTATGAACATAATTTGGTTGTTAAAAATACATATGTGGTACTTGTTAAGAAGTTTTCTAACAGGTGTATTATATGCAAAATTATTTTGCGATTTTACACTTATTGCAACCAAATTACATTCATTCAAAATTTATATGATGATATGCTTTGAGCACTGGGTTATGAAGTCCATGATTACTTTTTTAACACGTTGACTAATTTCTGATCGTTAATGTACAACAGATCCAACCCGTTTTATAATTTCTTTGCTAATTTGATTTTATTTTTAGGAAAACAGTTACTCGCAGGGTTAAAAAATTGAACCCATTGACCAATGCACGAGCCATGCTTAAATTGAATCCCTATGCAGCAGTTACTAAACGTAAAGCCATTCTTGCTACTAAGAAGAGGCTGCTTGAGAAAGTTTTACTTGATGCCAAGAAGTCAGGAGTAAGTTCTAACATTCAATATTTTAAGTCTGTTTATTTTATGATGAAACTTTTAGAGAGCACTGGGTTATGATTAACTGTGATTACCGTTGACAACCTGATTATTATAAATATTACAAGTTCATAATAGTTCAATATATTAAATATTCACTAATCTTTTTTTTTTATTATTACAGACTAAACTCTCCGACAGTCATGTTGCTGTTCGCACTGCAAAATTGATTGAGAAAAGACGGGCTGCATTAAAGAAAGCTAAAGCCGCAAAGCCTAAAAAAGCAAAGACAGCAGCAAAACCTGTGAAAAAATAAAAAATAAAATGTCTCCTGCTAATTTGATGGATTTTATATTATAAAATAAAGATTATTGGATTACAGGAATGTTTGTTTTTTGCAATAAATTTCAGCATTTCTTTCGCCTAAAATGAATTTTCCATTTTCATGATTATTCAGTATTATGACTTTAATTTAATAAGGTTGATTTTAATTTTTCTGTAAAAAATTTTGAGAATTCATGCAGGTAAATCATTAGGGTCACAGTTAACGCTTATTAACTGGTTAATAATCTATTTGTAAATAACATGTTAATTTTTTTTTGTAGGGTAACCATACAACTGCATATTTGTGATACTCCTGCAGATTCATTGCTCTATTTACCCAAAGTGTAAAAATTGTAAGTACTTACTTATAAGAAATAAGTGTATAGTCATTTGTTTCTACGTAAATATGCAACTTTGTACAGTAGAACCTCGATTAACCTGACTAATTGTTGTCGATAGGCATCCGGATAACCAAATATATGAAAGGTAATGTTGTGTATTTATTAAAAATAACAAACACATACATATCAGTGAAAATAGTATTTATTAAGAAATTGAAACTTCCTTGTTTATGTACATATATTTGCTTAAATTACGTTACATACATATACTGAACAACAGGATTAATCATGCAAAAAATTCGAATTGTAGGTATGTACATGCATTTAAATTAGTTGTAGTTAGTAGTCCAGATAATCGCGTATCCGTATATCCGAGGTTCTACTGTAATTGTAAATTTTTTTTAACCCATGGCTTGGTCAAAGACAGTCTTATGAATCATCTTAATACAAATTTGTTAATTTTTGGGGAATGTACTTCTGGTAGTCTGTTTTAAATTTTCTGTGGAAAATAGCAGAAATTTTTGGACATTTTAAAGCAGTATCATTTCAAATTTTTAATTTGAAGGACTAATCTTGCATTATTAGATTAGATGACAAACCAGGTGAATGTGAAGATCCTAAAAATATAGCCTTTGTAAGACTATTTGCCGTCACATAAAAGTTTTGCCCAGTATTTTTTCTCTTCATGTACATATAGATAGTTTACAATTATTTTTCATGTTAGTTTGTTGCTTGATAGTTTTGTATAGGGTGTATACACCCACACTATTATGTACGAGCCCTTTTGCCTTCAAATTAAATTTGGGAATGGTACGGTAATGGTACTACTCAAGCATAAAAGAGCAAGGATACATCAAATGCAAGTTTAGGATGTATAAATAAAATATAATCGTTTTGTCAACTTCAGATATATTTTTATTAAATACTCATCTAGCAACATTTTCGTATAAATGTTTTATAATACCCGTATGCTTTATGAAAATAATTTGTGTAGTTTCTTGCTGTGGTGGCTAAGTGTAGACATACAAGCAAGCAAGGTAAGAATGCTTTGGTGACTGAGAGTAATGGACAGATCTGTCGAGGGTAGAGTGCAGAAGAAATAATCTTCATATGGTAAAAATCTCTACCACACCCGATATGAAGCTAAGGGATTCTAAGAGCTTGAAAGGTGATCTTATTAATATGTTATTAGTTTAATTTGGTATTGAAAATAACTGTCTTTTACAGAACTATCTTTTAACTTCCCGTAGGGCAAGTTATAGTAATCGCAAAAAAATCGAAAATGAAAATTTTTATATATCTTTACGTTTCAAAGGTTTCTGAATATTTTGACCTTAGCAAAAATGGATGTATGTGTGTGTGTGCGCGTGCGCGTGCGTGTGTGTATGTATGTGTTTGCCGATACAAATTTTCGTCGACGTTTTGGGAACACCGATCAACCGATTTGAATAATTCAAAAAACGTTCGATTCGTATTGATAAGTAGACGTGCTGATTAATTGTTGGCGAAGGCAGGTCTAGCCGTTCCGAAGATAAGGGGAAAAAAGTGCCAAAAATGGTAACTCAGTTTTTAAAAGAACGGATCGTCCGATTTTAATAATTCAAAAAATATTTTACTTGTATTGACAAGATGAAGAATTGATCAAATTTTTATGAAGGCGGGTCTAGCGGTTTTGGAGATCTAATGAAAAAAGTAAAAAAAAAATGCCATTTGGCGGTCAAAAATTATCATTAGACATATGCACATCAAATTATCAGATATTTTATAGAGATTTTAACAATAAGTAAAATTTTTTTGACATTTCTATGGGTTCCGTACCAATGCTTATCCGTTAGACGGCGGCGCGGCACTTGCACGCTTTGACATTTCGTGTCTATGCAGTTCAAGCAGTACGGATTGCTTTGAGTTCAGAAATTCCAAAATATGCCAAAATGAAGAAAACATTTTTCTTTTCAAAAAATTTTGTTTTCAAAAAAATAATTTTTTTTTTTTTAAAAAAAGTAATTTGTTGTTAAATATAGTTTCTCAAAAATCTAATTTTTTCGAAGTAAAATTTTTTCAAAAATGTTAATCGTTTTTAAAAAAATAATTTTTGGTACGGGAAGTTCCAGCAATTTGCCTTAAGGCACGATGCCATGCGCCCCACTAGTTATGTTTTGATTTTAAGTAATCTTGTTGATTTGAGTTGTAAGATCGAGAGTTTTCTGCGCATTTTGTAACATTTTAATTTAAATTGTTTTACGCCCGTTATTTAGTTCGGAGATGTCTTTTTGTAAACATATCATTTACAAATTTTATGCTTCTGTAGATTTTTTGGTCATCTGCATATAGAAAATGGTCTTTAAATGGATTTAAAGTCTGTGTCTGTCGTTTATGAAAATGTTAAATATTATATATTTAATCATTATAGTTATATATACGAAAAAAAAATTTTTTTAAGTGAAGCAAAAGCAAAATCTGTACAGAGGCACACACTCAACATCATTTAGATAATGCAAGAAATTTTGTAAAGTTTATTGATTTTTAACTTCCTGAATAAATTACGTATCAAATCCGATTTGTTAATCCTACCGTTTCTCGACGTTTCAAGTCCTTCTGAATTTTGTTTGGCAAGTAGGAAAGAGCGTGTGAAACAAAATTTGACTTTTCATCGATGCCTTTTCAAAAACTTTCAAAACGATTTTAGACATTTAAGCGCAAACTCAATGGTGTCGGCCTAGCCGATCCTTTTAATTCGCAGATAAGTGCAAAAATTTTCGTAAACATTTTTTTTTGATGGTTAAAATGAAACTTTGCTGTGTCAGAAGATGGTTCATTGTGTTAAGGGTTTTAAAATATTGCATACCGGGAAAGTGGATTGTGAATAGTGAAAATGTGAAAGTGCTTTTAAAAAAGTTGTGTACTGTAATTAATACACTTTGAGATATGTGTATCAATTGGAAATCGTATGAATTAGTGGTTAGTGAAAAGTGAAAATACAGTTCAAAATTTGCTCGTCACAGTTTTAAAATATGCGAAATATCAGTTCTTATCAAATTGGTCATTTGAATATTTCGTGAAAACTAATGAAATGCGGAATTTTATTCGTTTTTTAATTTTTTGTTATAATTTTTCATCTGCAGTTGCATTGATTTCTCTGTGGTTATATTACGCAAACACAGCTTTGGAATTGAAATGTTTGCAGCTTTATAAAGTCTAAGTTCATTAAACCAATAATTTTAGTTATTGGCTGTTTAATATAATTATGATTTACTATGCTTGATTAGTTAACTAAACTTCAACTAATTCAAGTTGTATTTCAAATATTCGTGTATCGTTATGAGCTTTTCGCGTTACGTATTGCGCAGGTCGCAATTCTGCTAGATAGATACCCTTATTTCATTGACAGTAAAGCATGTTTTATAAGACAATAGTGACACCGCCTTAAAATGTACTTTAAGATTATCGTGCTGATTAAAAACTGTTTACCTTAAAATAACAATTTACCAATATTAACATTCGAAAGCATCAGATAAAGATTTTCTAATTTGCAAGAAAAATTTGTGCGACGTCATTGTAAAAATTGCAGAAACTAAATGAGGTAAAATATATTTTTCATGATTTTGATATTTGATTTGATAAATTATACTGAGTAATTATATAAAATATTTATTTATTTGCATGTTTGCATGTTTCGAAGTTAATTTCATAGGTGATCAATACACTTGATTGCTCACGATAGTTTTGTGTTTGCTAAAAGTATAGATTCAAACGCCTTTTACAATAGCACTTGGAACTTATTGTGAAACAGATGATATCGCTTTATTTTGGTGATATTTTGTTTATAGTTGTCTTAAATAAAATATTTTCATTCTGTTACGTTTTGAAGTATAAAATTTTAGACTTCAATTGAATTTAATTGACTAATTGCTCAGAATTATTCGCCAGAAGTACATTAAACTTTTATTCGTTTGGAATGTTTTACGCACAAATAATGTAAAATGTCAATGACCAAAAGTACTGAAAAAAATGTTTTTAAATTAAATAACGTTTATAGCATGTATATATTTACTATTATATTTTTTATGAAACTTTTACAATATTATCTCTTTCACGTTTTAAAAGTGCGTTTACCATTGTTAACAAAAAAGTGTTTCCGTAAATTGTTGTTAACAAAAAATAGAAATAAACGGAACTGGGTTAGATTAATTTTGTTTTTGAATGTATTTGATTTATAAATTTGAAACATATCAATGTATGCTGTTCGAGTCAACAAATAATAAATATATTAATGTAATAAATAGATAATACATAAAATCACCTAATACTCCGATAGCTATTAACTCGAGGCCATTAACGATATTTTGAACGCATTTTTATCAACATTTTTTAGACTATCGTTTTAATTGCTATAAAGTGACAATGCTTCAATAATAAAACTTTCATATGAATTCTTACAGCAAACATGCTTAATGGCGTTTTTAAAAATCATTCAATATTTACCATTATAAATTTTATTTCTCTCATAATTTAAATAATTAACAAATGTATTGAAAGTAAAATTTTATCTGTTGCGAAGTATTGAAATAATCTAAATCTAAAGGTGGCGTCCGTAAATTATGTGGTATTTGCATTTTTATCGGAGTGGAAATATACAGTTTTTGGGTTGGTTTAATGTAATTACAATTTATTTAGTTTTTTGCGCCCGTATCTTTTTGGTAACATTTACCAACGTGACATTTTCAACAAAAAATCTGTGAAATCTGGACATTATCGAACAATTTTACACATTATTGGACATTAAGTCCAAGCATTTTAGGGGGTATCGATGGAAACGGAAAAATCATTCATTTGGCGGTTATAATTTCTAAATCAATGTCCGATTTTTTAAATATGAGAATCCCGGAATGATAATAACAAAGTTCCGGGTTCAAATCTGTTTCGAACTATCGCTTTTTACATGTAAATATATTTCCAATTGTACGTCAAACCTTACAGAACACTTACAATTAGTTCTTATTAATTCAAATAAATAATAATGAAATTAATCAATTAATAAATAATAATCTTTAGTCCAAATAAACAATAAAGTATGTACAATATAGATTGTTGATACGGATGTATTTTAATTTACTTACAAAATACACTTTGTATTAACAATTACAACTATAAGCTAATATATATATTTGTGGGATTGCGAACCAAAATTGATATTGTGAAGAATTCCAAGTTTAAGACGGAATGTATATAACATTCTTCATTTTTAACTCTTATGTTCAACTTGACTTGACTATGTGAGAATTGATGAATTAGTAAAATATAAATATTAATTATAATAATGAGAAATAAAAATACTGATTGGAATAAAACAAGTGACACTATAATTATCCAGGAAACTTTTTTTATGTAGTATTACATTTGTTATATATGTAGTCATTTTTACACCAGTCTTGAAATATGAACAACAAATAAAACGGTTGAAAAAAAATGACAAAGAAACTGATCTGTGTAAATCAAGTATCTTTTACAAATATGTGAGGATAAAATCAAATGTTATCATAGGATTGAATTTCATATGAATTCGTTCATAATTCGGTTTTCGCCCGGATCAGATGATTCACCCATCGTACCAGCTGTGCGGGAGCTAACGAAAGACAGATCGATATTTGAGCCCCTTTTCCGCGGTACTAATCGGAAAACACTCAAACGACATACGGTGCCGGACACCGATCGGCACAACCATACTAAATGCCTTTTTGCCTTAACAATCGGATTTTCGATGAGTCGCTTATAAATCACATAAAGGCTATTACTTGTTTTAATTTACTTTCATTATAAACGAAATTGTATTTGCGCTACATTTGCCATAATCGAAAATTGATTTTTTATGATGTCACTTTATAATAGTTGTAAATATACAGTGTGTCCCAGAACTTAACGTCAAGCCAAAACGTGGGAATAGCATTGACCTCAACTGACCTGAGAAAATTCAGAAAAAAATTGTCTTACGTTGTTTGGAAATTATGAGCTTTTTAGTGCAACCTAGAGTTTAGGTGAATTTATGATCATTTCTTAGCTATTGGAAAATTTTTGGAAAGCCAGGTCTGGCGGTTTCAGAGATCCAATATAAAAAGTAAAAAGCCCTGTTTGGCGGTTAAAAATGATCTTTAATGATATTTAATAATAAAGAGAATTTTGTTTACATTTCTATGGGTTCCGTACCAATGTTTATCCGTTAGTATGCGATGCGACGGTTCCGCTCTTTGAGATTTGGTCTCTAAGCAGCTAACGGAGCGTGATTGCTTTGAAAAAAGTTTCAAAATTTTCGAAAATCTATATTTTTCGAAGTTTTTGAAAAAAAAAAATAATTCTTGGTACGGGAAGTTCCAGCTATTTGCTTTAAGGCATGACGCCATGCACCACTATAACTTGAACATTTCTAGGACCACAGCAAAAATTAACACAATTGACCCAAGTTTTTAGAATGAAGACTTTTTATTGAACTAAATGAAAAATATTTAAAAGCTGTAGACTTATAGAGGCTCTTCTTTAAAAAAAATTTACTAAAGTGTATTGGCAAGTTTAATCAAAAGTTGGCGCATTTATGTACCGATCGCCGATGTTATATCGAATGGCTTTTAAACTTTCACTCACATACACACGCGTGCTTTTTGCAACTTTGGTGTCAAACGATTCAGAATGATTTGAAACGTCGAGAAAAAGTAAAAGTAGCAAGTAGTATTTTTTTTTGGTAAAACAAACAGTCTTTAAATTGTGTTATTTTTTGCATGCGTAGATAGAGGGTTAGTCACATACTGGCAGTATGTGACAACTATGATAATGTGGCAACAAATTGATTACTATAAATAAGTATTAGTTGTGACAATATATAAACCTAATTTTAGACTGTTACTTGCTGCTAAATTTATTCACAGAACTTTTGATAAGCGGTTTGATAAAAGATAATTAGGAATATTGCGTGCGAACCTCTGCATGGCGAAAATACTAAATCTTTCTATTTCACGTGAATGTTATCACATTGATGTGGAATGACCGTAATTAAATATTACATTCAACAAATCGACAACAAAATTAAAGAAATGAAAAATACGTTTATTTAATAAAAATTATGTATTAATTATATTCAGGGCCGGTCCTGCCTTGCATGCGATGCATGCAAAAAATGCGGGCGCACGCCTTAGGGGGCGCCAAAACGAGTTTCGGAAATTAAATTTATAATATAATATTTATATTTTTTTATATAAAATCTAGAATTATTTGTATAAAATCTAGAATACTTAATAAATTATAATAAACGATCTAACTTAACTAGGGACACGGAGACACAAAAAGCATATTTATTTTGCAATGTGATATCAGCAGAAACAATTAATCGATTAATAAATAATTCTGCAAATCAGTAAATAACAGCTCTGTTTATTGCTCAATCTACTAATTCAATTTTTTCTTTGAAGTTATTAAAAATTAAATTAAAAAGATAATATCTAGTGTTCAATCCCATAAGCGCAAACCTGCGAAGGATTAAATTAATTACTGGGCATTATTGACGAATAATTGCGAGCTGATTTAGTTGAAACGAAACTTATTAAAAAATATAAAAAAATTATAATCGGAAAAATAAAAAACGGGGAGTTAGTGCTTAGAAAATGGCATGTTTATTCCGTGAAATTGAATTGTAACTTTTGCTTTTGTTGCAAATGTTTCGCATCTGATGAATTTTGAAAGACATGGGTGGTTAGGGTTATGGAAATGGAACATACGAGGTCTGTTCAAAAAGTTTTCGTAATTTTCGTTTTTTCAAAAAAATATTTATTTATTCGTCTACATTAATGTGGTCCCCTTCAAAGTAGTCCCCCCCAGATATAATACACTTATGCCAGCGTTTTTTCCAATTTTCGAAGCACCCTTGATATTCACTTTTTGATATGTCCTTGAGCACTCTCGGCGATTTTCTTCAATCGAGGAAAACCGCCGTCCTTTCATGGGTCTCTTCAACTTTGGGAATAGGAAAAAGTCACACGGAGCCATATCTGGTGAATTTTTGCACTTTGCAACACTTTATTTCATTTTTTACGCAAAATTTAATACAAATTCTTTGACTTTTTCAATTCTTCCATTGTAAAAATCGCCGAGCTCAGAAAAACACGTCGAACCTTAGCGACTACCACAGACAAAGTAAACAGTGAATATAGCTGAAAATTTCATCATACTTTAGGGGCATGTATACCAACACAATAAAAAAAAAATTTGACAATCAGACACTCCAGACCCGCGAAATTTAATTATTAGTAATTCCGGGTACTTTTTGTACACACCTCGTATATGAAAAATGGAAGGAAAATTTACTTTGGAACGAAATTCTTAAGGCTTTTTTTATATCTAGTGGTGTCCATACTATAAATTTAATAATTATTAATCATGCAGAAATAATACATATCAAATATAATAAGATTTTTTCTCAAGGAATGTAATTTCATTGCATTTTTTACTGATTTTTGGACAATACTTCTAAAATGCGTTAAAAATTTAACTTTAAAACATCAAACTGATACTCTGAATATGACGAAAATGCAAAGATGAATATAATTAGGCTCTTACGATATCAATAAGGTGAAGTTTACGACGCAATTTTGGATATTGTAAATGATGAACAATTAATTTAAATTAAAATTTAAAAAATCCAACATGAAATACGAGTGTTATCATTGAAAATGAAAAGCTAGTTTATTTAGCTCTCTTGGCATGATTTGCTCAATAGAATAAATCGCATAATAAATAAGTAAAATGTTTTAGAAGCAAAATATTAATATTGCACATACGTTAGAAATAATTGAAAATTTAAAAACATTTGATTATAATCAACACGCGAATCGCCACGATTTTCTAAATAAATTTATAATCTATATATTTTATACGCTTTTAGATTATATCTAATTTATTGGGTACTAAATGCAGAATAATTAAAAATTAATTTTCAAAAAATATGTAAATATTTATATAATTTTAATGATAAACTGTTAAAACAGTTAAAACTAATAGGGGGAGGGGGCGCAAGAAACAAAGTTGCATGCGGGCGCTAAGGGCCCCAGGACCGGCCCTGATTATATTTATATCTAATTTTGAGTTTTCTCTTTGCAGCACGATGACCCCTTTCGTAACGTGGAAAATCTTTCTGTTGGTCGTTTTATTTACGATTGCTGTGCGATCTAAGGAACAAAATCAAGCTACCGGTAAGAATATTGATATTTGAAAGTTCATAGTAGGAAATTAAGAATTGTTACAAAGTTACTCGACTTATATAAAAAATTTGTGAAATATAGGTATAACACATATAAATATCCCATAATTCAAAAAGAACATAGGTGTCAAATGGAATTTAACCCTTTCGACTCGGATGCCGCCGTGTCGTCGCGAACTAAACTTACAACATGTGATTTTTTTCTCATACTTATGAAGTTATATCACTATTAAGTTCATTTATTGATTAATTTATAATTATTTTCATAAATAAATACGATAAAATTAATTTAATAGCTCATAAACACCATTATTTTTCAGGTATAAATGTTACTAGAGATTTCATTTTATATATTATTTATATATACAACGTAATGTATTGTACATATGCATATTATACATACATACATACACGTATATATATATATATGTATATATATATATGTATATATATATATATATATATATATATATATATATATATGTGTGTGTGTGTGTGTGTGTAATAAAAAAAATAACGGTGTTATTGGGGTTGTTTTTAATACGGGCACGATAACCGTATCTACTCTCCAGGAATATTGTTTTTTTAATTTTTTTTATTTAGTTGTTATTCAGAATATATTTGATATAATTTTTATTAATTAATTTTTATAAACATCTGTGTAAAAACGATTTTTTAAACTATAACATAGTTTGTATCATATTTTTAATTTTTTTTACAAATTTTCTGTTTTATTATCATACTAACGAGATTTAAAAGCAATATCACCACATTTTAAAAAAATCCGATACAAAAAAAAATCCGAGTTGAGAGATATGTATAGCACTATAATATACCGAGCGCCGCGCACCGTCGAGCAGTCAGGCTCCGACAGTCAGACTCAGGAGTGGAAAGTGTTAATATTTTGAGATATTACATGCATATTTGTTATTTTTTATATTATATATAATAATTATAATGAAAATTACAATAATCATTCGGTTATTGGTATTTGTTGCTCAATTTCATTAATTCATTTAAATAACAATAATTGTTAGGACTGATTAAAATAGATCTCATAATTTTAAGGTCGTTGTGAGTTTGATTATTACTCAGGACTTATTTTTTAACGATAATTAAGATCAATTAACGATGTTTCAGTTCATTCATTTTAATAGTATCTTTTAAAATGTATCTTTACTTTATACGAGGAAAATGATTCGAATATGAGACTTTTGCAATTAAAAACGTGATTTTTTTTAAATTTGAAATAAATAAAAAAATCAAGTTAAAACTAGTTTTGATTAATAAAACTAATCAATGAATTGATCTGAAAACCACATTGATTCACAGAGACTCAGCATCCAGTCAGCGGCAGCACGTTGACCACGACCGACCTGTCGGAAGCTGACATGGAGTTTCCGTTGTCGCCGGCTACTGAGCGCTGGGCCGGTACATCAGTCGGCAAAGGTGCGAGCGGATCGGAATGGAGCGCCCGCGTTAAAGCGGCCACGCATAGGGCCCTACGTTGGCTAGTTAAAAAACGAGACGCTAACGGGGCCTGGGGCAATCACACGCATCAAGTGCTTCTTGCTTTGCAGGTAATTCATTTTACCAGAATCCTTAAAGATTATACCATCTTGAACCATATTGTATTCTTAGCATCGGTTCAAACTATTATCTTATTGTCAACAAATAGCGCCTAATCAGGGTTAGTAATATAGGACTCATTTAAAACTTTTTTGTCTATACTTTTCTGCACATCTTGTGGAAATTAAAACTTTAAAGTTTGTACAAAAACGAATATTTCACAGGAAGACAAAATTATTGATTATTATAAAATTAGAGATTACAAAAATTATTTACAATTAGATTCAAGACTACTAGAAACTTAACCCTTAACGAACAAATGTCGCCATACTCGTGACGTTGTAACTATTCTAAAATTTGCTGAAGTTGCACAATGCAGTGAGAAAATGAATTTGAATATTGGCCAACCAGCAATACTAAACGAATTCCATTCAATTCAAATCCAATAAAACGATCTTAATTATGTAACTTTTCTCGCTTTGGAAAAGAAGCACTTAATTTCTTCAAATCCATCGACCTACTGCGCATAGTTTTAGGTAATGCGCTCCGCTTTGTTAGGTTATGCTGATTTATCTATGATGCGCTCGTTCGTTAAAGGTTAATTTTATTTTGCTCTGTGTTGGATAATTGGCATTTAATTGTGATTGTAAAATGGTAAAATAGTTGATAATTTTATTATTGAAAACGAAAATTTTCGTGTAAAAAATGAAACCTAATGACATGATTATTGCTAGTGCATTTTACTCACAATCAGTTCAAATGTTTGTTATATGTGCAAGGTCCAAATGCGGTAACCGTTATCGTGTTATTTTTAGATTTTAACTTTTCTTTTTAAATTTTTAACTTCACCTAGGGTAAGTTATAGTAATGAGCTAAAAATCGAAAATGAAAATTTTTGCATATCTTCACGTTTTGAAGGTTTCTGAACATTTTGGCACACCTCAGAAGAAATGGATTTTTGTGTATGTTTTGTATGTCCGCATTTTTCGTTCACTTTTTAGGGCGCACGGATCAACCGTCAACTTTCAACAAAGTACTTATTGTTTGTTTTAACAAAATGATTGCTTTTGGGAAAAAAAAGTTTTTTTTGTATATCGAAAATAATTCAGATTTTAATGTTACGGTACGGGAAGTTCCAGCAATTTGCATTAAGGCACGATGCCATACACATTATAATTATATTATCAAGTATTTTACTATTTTATAATACTGATTAAATGCGACAGCTTTTGATGAAACTTGCCAATACATCTTAGAATGTTTTTTTCAAAGGAAGGGTCTCTCAAAGTCTACTGATTTTAAAAAGTTTAAATTAATAGTTCAATATAAAGCCTTAATTGTTGAAATCTGGGGGCAATTGTGTTATTATTGTTTACTGTGGTCCTAGAAATATTATTCACGGTTACTGTTCGAAGTTTAAATGAACAAAATTAATAAAAATTAAACACAAAAACCGATAAATTGACATAATTTTACCAAAGCTTTAGGTTGCACTGCAAATCTTACAATTTCCGAACAACTTTCAATATCTCAATCAATATTCAGGTCAATATATTATTACTTTGTTTCGGCTTGACGTTAATACAGGGGACACCCGATATATATATATATATATATATATATATATATATATATATATAGTAGTTGTATACATTCATAAAGATCTCTCCTAAATACGAAGACCTCTTTTGAGGTTAATCACACATGATGGCTCCTTTGGTAATTCAATTCATTCACGCTGAATGAGTTTCAAAAGGTTGACATTTTAGTCGGTCCTATTTGGTAAGCACGATTGTTGTGCATGAGGAACATGTTAAATTTATTGCAAATGTATAAAAATTATCAATTTTATACTTAACGACAAAAATAATAGTATTATTTGATTTTATTGTGAACCAATATATTTTTAATTATTTAATTTGGAATAAATTATGCTATAAATATAAGTTATTGCATATTATTACAGTAAATTTATTAATTTAAATTTGCTGACGTAAAAAAATATTGCAACAATGAATACAGATAATATCGTAGTCATAAAGATGGCTTTGCGGATATTAGTTGTACCGTTGTAATCATATAACATGATGGTCTTGGGTTTAAAATATGGGCTTCCTACGACACTTTCCGATGTTCTACAATTTATCTCAATTTACAAAATCATAACAGAATAAATATATTATCAAAACGATTGAATTTTAATCTATCAATTCAAATACTTTCTAAAAGTTATAGGTGACATGTTGCAAGATTAATATGAAATAAATTTATTGATATGCTTTGTACTTTTTGTATTGATTTTAAATAAATACAATGAAATACAGTTTTCAAAAAGTAGTGCTAAAATTTTTATATTTATTTTTATTTATTATATTAAAATAATTATCGAAAATATCTTTATTTCAGATCGCAAATGATTCTAATGTTGATGCATTATCAGTACTACCTCCATCGTTGGAAACGAAATTGTCGGAGAAAGAAATGGAAATTCAAATACTTTTGGCGTTGGGAAGGTAAGACCCCACAGATTTCTGATTTAGATATTCTAACAATAAGTACTACTAAAAATGCCTACTACATCAGCCCAACCCAACCACGATTTATATATATATATATATATATATATATATATATATAGGGAAACTTTGAAATATATAATTTTGGAAGCAATAAAAATGTTATAAGTTCCTACAAGTTTTTAATTGAGTTATAGTCCATTGCCCAAGATTGAATCTCACATATTCCAACATTAAAATTATTAAAAATTTTAACATATATATATATATATATATATATATATGTGTGTGTGTGTGTGTGTGTGTGTTTATTGGTATAAATTACAAAAATCTTTTCTATAATTTCACATGTTTTATTTTTTTTTTTATATATATATACATTATTTTCATATCTCAGTCAGGCAGAGTTGCCTGGTATGAGAGATTATGAAAACAGTTTTCATATAATATATACATTTCATTTGACTATAATAATCTATTTCATTAATATAATATCTATATATAACTAAAAATATCTTTATATATCACTCTTCAGTCTTCTTGGTCTTCAATTTCCTTATAGTGTTTTTTTATTTTTCTTTTAAATTTATCGTCATCTTTGGTCATCTTAATATTGTTTGGCAATTCGTTATATGTTTTGCTGGCACTCCATATGTTACATGTATTTTGTTTATATCATCATATTTTATAATTTGAATTCTATTTCTCAATATACAATTAGAAAATATGCTCAAGTTTACGGATTTATTAACGATCACAGATATAATAATTTAACAATCGTTTCATGATACATAAATTATTAATATGACAGTAATAATGATGTTTTAGTAATAAGATTTACAAACTTCAAAGTTCGCAGATCAAAACGACTTTTATAATTTTCTTCAAAATTCTGTTTGGTCCATTTTTTATCAATGTAATGTATACGTGGCATACCATACCATATTTTACTTACATTATCCTAACATTGGTTGATAATATGCAATGATTCAGTAATGTAATAAAATCTATAATCATATCAATTAGCAATTGAAAAAATTGCATATGAAGATGTTTTTAATAATACATAATTGTTTTCGTGGAATACTGTGAGATCAACGAAATTATCCAAAAAGAATTGTTCCAACGTTTATAAAGCTATATAAGTGATTATATATTGAAATCAGTATATAGTAATTTTAATTTTATTTCATTTCAGACCTCACGAAACTATTCCCGATCCTGGACAACTAGCCCGCTATTCGTTGGCTTTAGAATCACTTTGTAAGGATCCTAGAAAGTTCCATGGTCATGATTTAGTTGCTCTTATACAACACCATGAACCTCAACAGGTGATTCTTTTGTTATTTTGCATGTAGAAGGTTTTAAATTAATTTTTTATTACTAAATTATGTTATCGATGGGTTTCAGGATTTGGAATTCGCACTTACTGCTTTGGCTGCATGCAGCAGTTCGGCGCATGTTCGCAAGCGACAAATTAGACGCCTACTAGATATTGCAAGTGCCGCCGCGGATCATAATGTCGGTCAGTTTTTTTTATAAATTTAAATAAAATTTGCTCGTATATATTCATAAACAAATTTATAATAAGACATTTACATCTTATATTTAACTTCCCGTAGGGTAAGTTATTTTAATCGTTCAAAAATGGAAATTGAAAATTTTTGCATTTCTCGACGTTTTGAAGGTTACTGAACATTTTGGCATACCTCAGAAAAATAGATGTGGGTATATGTATGTATGAATACAATTTTTCGGTCACGTTTGCGAGCGCACGGATCAACCGATTTGAATGGTTCGAAAAGCATTCGATTCCTATTGGTAGGGAGATGTGTTGATTAGTTTTTAGCAAAGGCCGGTCCAGCAGTTACGGAGATAAAGAGCAAAGAGTGCAGAAAATTGAAATTGAGTTTTTGAGAGAACGGAGCATTCGATTTGAATGATCTAAAAAACATTCAATTAGTAATGATTAGGAGAAGTGGTTATTAGTTTTTGGCAGAGGCAGGCCCAGCCATTTCGAAGATACAGAGCTAAATGTGCAAAAATGGCAGTTTTTGAGGGAATTAACCGTCCGATTTAAATGATTCAAAGAACTTTCTGCTTGATTTAACAAAATAATTGGTTTTGAAAAAAAATATTTTCTGTTTCAATTTTTTTTTTCAGAAAATTTTTTTTTTTGTCGAAAATAATTCAGATTTCATTTTGAATTGTAACTAAAGTTCTAATATACTTTAAACAAATAATTTCAATTTTGCAATTCAGTTTATATAATTCTTATAAATATTAGACAATGTTACAATATTTATAATAATCTATCTGAAAACATTCAATATCCCTCGAACATTTCGTTACGGTACGGGAAGTGGGCCGAATTTTTATTTTACATCCCAAAAAATGTAAAGACAAAAAATCAGTATTCATAAGCAAAAAAAAATCAAAACTCTGTTTAAAAATTTAAGTATTAATGAATTATGCGACTTACAAATCATAGCGGCCTGAAATATTCCCACTTCAGTGTAATGAAAACGTTATTTTAAGCCTAACTAAGTTCATTAATATTGATATTGGTTTTCTTCAAATCGTCATAGAATTAGGATTTATTGGTCATCTCACGAAAAAAACCATAATTATTTGGCAAAATTTCGAAAAATTTGGTATGTGACGTGACAATTACGTGGGTCCATAGGGGGTTTTTAGAACATATCTTTTGAAGTACAAATTTACATATTCTTAGTAATTCATTGTTTTTTGTGCAAATTAAATTTTTCAGTTATTTGTCAGAAATAATTGTAAAGAGTGCAGTTAATTCAATTTACTCAACATCTTTTTAAATACATAATTAATACAATTAATTAAAAATATCATTTAATTTATTGTATAAATTTCTGAAGTTTTCTGTTTTCTAAATATATGTATCAGAATGAATAAAAAATCACTTAAAGAAAAGAACGTAACTTTGGATTCAAAAATTGCATGAATAATAAATTATTTAAATGAAGCGAAACGCTACTGAATGACTAATGTTAAGTCCACATTTGTGCAAGTACAGCAATAAAATATATTGTAGGTAATGAAAATAGCAATATTTTATAAAATTGACTTCAGTTTTAATCCAGTGTATAATAATTGTGATGTTTGCCGTTGATCTTTTTATAAATAGCTCTGGTGAGGATCACTTTGATTAATTTGATATTGAGTGGACTGTAAATTATAAATATTTCATCACCATAAGAAGATGTGAATAAAACCACTATTTAATTTATGACATATATTGAACTACACTCTACAACCTTCTTCTCTTATTACATTTGCTAGACTCCCTTATTATTGTATGTTACAGGTATTTATACTCATATAATTGTATCCCCTACCCCGAAGGGTCCCAGGCTAAATAAAAGCCCTGGTCAAATCTTGACCAAGCTCTATTTTGGATCCTTTATCATGATAAAATACATATTTGTTATGGATTATAATATGGGTTTGATTTTTAATCGAAAGAAAAATAAATTATCCAATTATGATAACGGTGTAGAGTAACTTTGTTGGGGACAATAACGCTGAATATTATCTTTGAACATATTTTATCAACTGCCATAATTGCGTTGTGTCCAATATTTAATGATTAGTAGAATTACTAATTACTAATTTAGAATATCGTTATTCTTACAGACACAATAGCAATGGTCGTGTTAGCTTTGCGTTGTATAGTAACAGATCATCGCCATAGGCATCTTCAGCATTTTGTTCGGAGACCAGCTAGAGGTCTCGCCAGACAGCAGGGTGCCAGGGGCGGATTTGGCAGTGCCCGAACAACAGCTTTAGCTATGCAGGTGCAGACTAAAATATGTCCATAATAGCGTAATGGTAATATAGTTATATATTGGGTAATGCGTCACGAACACTAAAACACTGTCGACTGGTTCATTTTATTTCAAACGTTTATTTTATTGACATTTAGTAAATTTTACATTCGCTTTAATTGTATTGGTATGTAACTTTAACCAGTTAACTGTTACTGTGCGGTAACGTGTGAGTACGGTAGTGACAGTCGTCATAATAGCTAAAATCGGTATAGATTTTGAGATAGGGTCCAACGAGAGAAAGAAGAATTATGATTGTTCAAATGAGTTCCCATTATTGCTTTTAGTCAGTGCCTTACATTACCATGATCTGTAGACTGCATTGATTTTAAAGAGTCAAAAGTCACTCGATCGTTTTGTTAATTTTCCGTAGGGCAAGTTATAGTAATCGCAAAAAAATTGAAAATGAAAATTTTTATATATCTTTACGTTTCAAAACCTCCTGAACATTTTGGCATACCTTAGAAAAAATGGATGCATGTGTGTGTGTGCGTGTATATATGTGTGTGCGGATACAAATTTTCGTCGACGATTTCGGGAACACAGATGAAGCAATTTGAATAATTCAACTAGTGGGGCGCATGGCATCGTGCCTTAAGGCAAATTGCTGGAACTTCCTAAGCAAACTGCTGTGTGTGTGCGTGTATCTATGTGTGTGCGGATACAAATTTTCGTCGACGATTTCGAGAACACGGATGAAGCAATTCGAATAATTAAAAAAAACATTCGATTTGTATTGACAAGGAGACGTGCTGATCAGTTATGGCAGAGGCAGGTCTAGCCGTTCTTGTTCACATTTCTATAGGTTCCGTACCAATGTTTATCCGTTAGCCGCCGACGCGGCGTTTCTGTGCAGTTAAAGCAGTACGATTGCTTTGAAAAAAAAAAATCAGAATTTTCAAAATGTGTCAAAATAAAGAAAACCTTTTTTTAAAAAAAAGTAATTTTTTGTCAATTTTATAGTTTCTCAAAAATCAAATTTCTTCGAAGTAATTTTTTTTTCAAAAATTTAATCGTTGTTGAAAAAATAATAATGTTTGGTACAGGAAGTTTCAGCAATTTGTCTTAACGCACGATGCCATGCGTACCACTATTTTATTTTTTATTTTCCTGTAAGTTGAACATTAGTAGTTATTTTGCAACAATTAGTTTTTGCGTAGATAATTTAGCTCAGTATAATAGTGATTTGTTTTAAAAGGTATGCGTTGGGTACGGTTGTGACAAATTTTGTAGGTACGGTTGTGACATGTATTTCTTGCCCTTTTCGAATGAAGATTAAACAGTTAAAAAAATCTAATTTTACTAAAACAAAATGCAAAAAAGAAAGAGAAAGAAAAATTTAATACAAGAAAAAAAAATCACAAAGAATTCTTGTTAACTTTGTTTAAAAAATTATGTTTTGTTATATATTGTTATATTTTATTCATAACACCTTGTTTGAATGTTCATGTTTTGTTGTGTTACATATTATTGTTATTAACGACAAAAGTGTTTGTTAACCTCTTTTTATGTCCGTCACAACAGTCCCTCTGGCTGGATGGTTATAACACTTGCTCTTTTCTTGTATAATTTGATTCTATGACAAATCCATCGTATTTAAGGACAGAAATTCAGTATTACAAAGTAGGCAAACTTCAAATTACCATTAAATTCACTTTTTTCTCAGCATAGTGGTAAATTAACAAAATTATTGCAAATAAAAAAAAATAGTGGCACAACCGTACCCAGTGTCTCCTACTAAAAATGTACGTGATGTTAGGTGTGGGTGGATAATTTTCAATATCACCGCGTACCACCGAGGAGGAGGAGGGTCAAAAGTGGTTTAATTGAAAAAAATCATTAAAGTTTGGATCGGTGCTTTTATGATGATACCCGAGAATAAGTCATATCCAACTCCTTTAAGAGGGTTCTGAATCTGTTAACACGTACATTCTTAACACATATGTTTGTATGCAATGCATTTCGATGTTTCGATGTTTTTTTTTTTAATTTAAATAATCAACTTTTTAAATTGTAAATTTGAGTACATAATACAATTATAGTTTTTTAGTTATATATTGGCTCAACATTAGCTCATAGAATAATATCTGATTTAGTTGTTCTGCAGTGTTGACTACTTCTTGAAGAGGAGTTATATCCTAACCGATCCGGCTTCGGATACGATAAGCCCAACTATATTCTGTAATATGCTTTGTATTAATCATCGTTCACATGCACTCTTAAATAAGACATCAATAAACACAAATAGAATGAAATGTGTTAAATAAATATAATTACATGTACTATAAGTTTTTTTTAAATTTAAATGTTATTCAAATTATAAAATCTGAATTTTTATTAAGTATATTATTTAACGTTTTGGGAAGTTCATTTAATTTGTTTTAAGGAAAATGCCACTTAGAACTACTTATTTTACACAGACATTGTCTTAAATTATTCTAAACAACTTGCCGTTTCATAATTTTTTTTTTCAATTTTTTCAATTTCACTAACAAATGTATGTACAAATGTAACGAGTATATTTTTCAAACACATTTAATTGCTAATTTATAGTAACGATGTTCAAATTGAATGAATACATTATGTTAATTACTTTAAAGTGACAGTTTCAATTTTCGAATTATAAAATTCTACTTGAACCTAAAATTTTGCATAGTTGCTAGAATTGAAATATATGTACCAGTTACATATTTATCCTCGAATCATTATTTGTAGGCATTACGCGACATGGACGACGCAGCGTTACAGTGGAATCGTTCGGCGGCCGAGGAATGGCTTTTGGGTCTGCAAACTCCGGAGGGCGCTTGGGGACTTGGAGAAGGCGATGGACCCGGAACCGCTTGGGGCCTGACTGCTGATGTAGCTTTAGGACTGGCCACTCGTGGACTCGCAGCGGTACGCGATTTGCAATGTGATTCTAAACGAGTTGGTGGCAATGGTGAACATAAAGACGAAAGAGGTACAAATTGAATAAAAAATATACATAACATGCTTTAAATTATTGTTCATTATTGAATATTTAGATGAAAATACCAAGGCACTTCTAGAAAATATTATATATATATATATATATATATATATATGGTGGTCCTTAATATGGACATTTTTGAATTTCTTTGCTCCCAAGGGCTCAAATAGTTCGAAATTGATAAAAAAAATCCTCCAACAGTTTTAGCTCTTAACATTGTCTTTTAGACAGTGCGCAATTCAGTTTCGTATGCAAATAGCATGGAAAATGCTATTTTCAAAATTTTTAAAAATATTTTGTAGATATATATATATATATATATATATATATATATATATTGATGAATTATTTAGAATTGGGCAGTGACACCAAGTAAAAAAAAAACTAAAGTAGTTTTGAAATACTTTATTTATCCATACGTTTCAGTCTTCATCATTTCATATAAAAATTGTATGAAACTATTAATTCCTGTCGAGCACATATTTTTGTAAAGTTGGTGATGATTTTGTTGGAAAAAAATAAGCATATTTAAAGCGGTTTGCGATTCGTTTCCATACTACGAAAAAAATCAAAATTGAAATTTATTTTTTTGAATTTTTCTTTTTTGTATCGCAGAGCAAAAAAATCACAGATTCCGAAACAAATTTTAAACTTTTGAAAAAGTGACCTGTGGACACCCAAAAAAATTGGCAACCTCTCTGAAAAGGGGTGAAAAAATATTTTTTTTGAATTTTTTTTTTGTTTTATATTTAAGTAAGCGAGCAAAAAATTGGGCATTTTCAAAATTGTCAATTTTTGTAAATTGGCAAATTTGAGAATTTTCCTATGCGTGAAAATCTATGATGGGCAAAACTTTTCCAAAAATTAATTGCATCATTCGACAGCAAAAAAATCACTGATAACGATAGTAAAAAGAAATTTTAATTTTTTTGCATTTTTAAAGGGGTCGGTGCTGGCTATATATATAGTTAGCACCGGATTTGGCCCCACCCATTTATCTCGAGAACGGAAAGAGCAAAAAAATTTTAGTTTGCACCAATCGACAGCAAAAAAATCGTCAAAAAATCAGGTCATATTAGTTTTGCCAATTTCCACCATCGCGGTGCCAAGTATATAGACGTTCAAATGATGTTAGTTGTTAAAATGATTAGTTTTTCGTAAAGATCGGCCGGGGCTTTGTAATTATATTTTTGCGTTTTTATTAACAAGGCGATAAAGTTCATGATCTAAACAAAAATTCTATTATAGTTCTACAAAAAGTGGTTGAATTATGAATTTTCATTAACGTTTGGAATAGTGGACCACGCTTTTAGGACATACAAGCGCGTGTCTGCGCATTGTAATTAATATAATTATAGATATTAGTTATAATTACAGATATAAGCTTGTTTGAATGGTGAAGCTCAATTTTTTTTTATTTGATCGATTATTTAAATCTATCGAGAAGTTGCTTATGTACCTAGTTTATGTTGTTTTTATTAGCAATATTAATAACTTCTTTAGATAATCTGGATTTATAATTTATTGTAAAAAAGTAATTACCTAATATTTCCATATTTTTCCCTCACGTAAAACGTTATTTTGTTGTTTCAGTTGAGTATGGAAATGAAGGCCCGAAAATTGCAGCTCCAATTGGTTTAACTTGGGCAACCGAACAAGATTCTGAATGTGAGTAAAAAATGTATTATGAATTTGAACTACTCTTATTATAATAATGTTTCTGAACACTTATGTTGCTCTAATTTAAAACAATTTTTGATTCAAAATTATCTCAAATTCAAGGCCAGGATTCACTGATAATATTGAAAATTAATTGAAATTACCCTACGGGAAGTTAAAAATATACAAAGCGTTTATGTGATACTACAAAACGAATTACTCTGTATCTAACTTAATAAGATAAAATTTAATCATCTCACTTGAAATTAAAAGGTATATTGAATTCAAGAAAAGCATGATGCGTTTAGCAACATTTTTATAAAATAACAACAAATGAACAAATTAATCAAATTAGTCTTTGTAATCAACCCAACAATGTTCTGAGGTACAAGATAAATGTGTGGAAGAACACTTATATTATAGCTGATGAAATTTGATTATGAAATTTTGGATAATCAACAAATCAAAGACAAAGCAAACTCTTACAAAAAACTTTTCTATTGAACATGGCAAAGGTGTAGGCCAACAACAATAAAGAACAAGATGAAGTATTTGTTGCTCGTTTTACTAGCGCACAAAAATATTACAATAAAAATATTATGCTAGATCATTTAGTTTATTGGATATTTGTTATGTGTAAGTGACAGAGGCTGCAATCGATGCCGAACATAAGAACGATGCCTAACACCGGGCGGCGGTAGCAATCTGAAGTCCACATTGATTATACATGGGTGTCACAGCGCCGAAGGAATGCTTGTGGATTTCAGGTTGCTGCCGACGCTCACAACACACGGTGTTTACTGGGTGGTGATCACAAACCAGCTAGGAATAAACGCAATCAAGTCAAGCACATAATAATTGTCCAGAATAGATGCCGTGGAGACACCAAAAGTTTCCGACAGCTCATGTAATTTATAAATTAATTTATAAAACCAGAGGCTTTTGTCATTAGTGGGTGTTTAAAAATTAAAACTATGGCTATTAAAATTATGGCAGCAAGCAGAATCTATTTCGTTATTATTAAATTTGAAAATTATAATGACCAAAATATCGGCCAAATAGGTATACAAGAAAATAAGACATGGCATGAATCCATCACAAAACAAAAATTCTTAATTATCTCTGTTCAACATTCTATAGATATTCACGTTCTGTCAGTTTAATTTACAAGATTGTATATAAAACGTACCTTTAAGAGTTTTTCAAACTTTTGAATTTTAAGAGCTTCTTAACTTGTAAGCCAAAAATTTTACTTATTCTCTAAATTTCTTACATTAATAAAATGACAATAATATTACAAAATAATACTAATAATAATATCAATAAAATATTACTAAATTAAATACTCTTCGCATACAATCAACAAACAAAATAATTATTTAATTGCATCTAATTTTGGTCAGACTAATTGCATTGTTGAAAATATTATTTTTATATTCTTTGTTAATAAACACTGCGTACTTAATAGAAAACATGAAAATGAAACGTAACAAGAAAGATTCGAAACATCGAAAATAATCAACACATTTTCAGAACACACTTTTGTAATTACTATTTTCGTAGAACAACACTCAAGTTTGTGAGAGCATTGTTCTTTTCCGACTTCCTTCTTAATTAACAATTTATTATTTATTTACCACTTTCATAATTTTATGTATTGTACCCAGCTATCAACCATCTTTATTCCCCAAACTCATAGTTTTATGCTCGTTGTATTTAGCCTTCTCGATCTCTTTTCTGAATGACCGATCATTGTTAGGTGCCTCGGTACAATAAATTTCGTGCATAATCCATTTTCATAGTTTATCAATAGTTCAGCATAATTTTCCGTAACAGCATAACTTTTCTTACTTCTTATTTAGAACATTGAATGTTGCCCTTTACATTTTAAAATACATGGTCACTAATTGTCCTCGTGCAACTCTTGTTTGTACGATTTTCCCTATTTCACAGTCTCCTCTATATATGTTTCTTCCACAGACCGAGAATTTTCTTGTGGTCAGTCACCTTTCGTCTGAGACCTGAAATCTAAATTGTAATAAATCGTAAGTATCATGTTTATTACGTTCTGTTATCTTTCATACGTTTTGTCCATGTATTTTGACTTTGCTTTTACCGTTCTTTTCTCGAGATTGTTTTTTTACAATACATACTTTACTTCCGATTCTTTCTTCAATCCGATTCGATCTGTTTCTATTAATTAATAGCAATTCTATTCTTTATGTTCTGCAAAATAACTTTGCGAATGATTTTCAGCCATCTTTTTTAATTAACTTAAACCACCTTCTTTCTCACGATTCCATTAACAACTCCCATGCTCATTACATAGACCTTTATTTCTTTTTTATTCTTTCTTCAGAATCGTGCGTTATGAAATTTTCCGACGTGATTTTGCTTTGGTTTTTCCATCTTACCACGTATCCATTTTACAGTTTTATTTTCATTTACTATTTTGGGAAGTCTTCCTGGAAATCCGTACGAGATCATTTAATATTTGCTTTGTGAAGTGCTCTCGCTGTTACCAAGAGAATATCATATTGTGGTTGTATTCCATGTTGCAGTATCTAGGCATTAAATATTCCATAATTATTTTAAGGTCTCAGACTATTCCAATAAGATTTATTGATTATATAAATCAATCAATCAATCAATATAGTGAATACCACTCGCTGGTTTTGTTGTTTGTGGTTAGTCTTTTTCAAATCTCCCAGCTAATATATTAATTATTTTGTTATGTTAAGTTTGATAATACATTGCGTGTTACACTTACAGATACGTTTCTATTGATTCAGATTTAAAAGTATGTTGTTTTTGCAGCTCCTAACGTGACTATTACGTATACCTTATGGCATGGTCAAGATAATATAACTTACAGCCATTCCATAACGCTAATTTGTGCTCGAAATACTAGTTTCTATAGCGCAATGCTCATGGCTGCTGATATGGACCCAGAGTTCCAGTTCGAGGCTAGCGACTGGCCCAATGGCCACTATGTGCATACTTTAGGTAACCCGATAATATTTCTGAATTGTTTACATATAGTGTGCATTGCTCGTGAAATTCCTTTCATAATTTGGAAGGTGAAGTTATGATTATTAGGAATTTAACTAACTTATTAGTAACAATTATTCTGAAATTTATCTTTATATATTTTCAATATATTTTAAATACATTTAGTGCAGTAAACGAAGAGGAAAAAGGGGTATAACCTCTGAATTTTTTTTACTGTGCTCCGAATTGAATGAAATTTTGGAATTAGGTTTATCTTACCCTCAAGTTCAAAAGTGAAAACAATTTGAGTTGCGCCATCACCCTCCGGAGGGATGACACCCCTTCTCAATTGTGTAATTACATTTTTTCAAAATAACGTCGGAAATCGATAGAAGAACTATGAATTATAAGAAAAAAATGTCTTTTATAGTTTTTCAAGAAAACTAATACTTTTCAAGTTACTGGCCACTAAAGATTCATATATTTTTGGCGTTTTTCTTCGTTTTTTTGCAAATATCTCCTAAAATATACATTTTAATGAAAATCATGTAATGAACAAAATAATGTCAATAAAAATCTTAATAAATCGGTATTACATAAAGTGTTCTAAGAAAAATATTAAACAAGATTTAAAAGAGCAAAGTCGTTTTTTATTTCGTTTAAGATTTAATTGTTGTATTTAAAGCCATCTAGTGTCGAGGTTTTACATTTTATGCATTTCGGTGAAATTGGGTTTTATTGTGCTCAACATGAGCTTTAAAATAAATGCTCTTTCAAGTTTTTTACGTGTGAAATGAGTGAGCTATCATGCAAATAAGAAGCATATACGAAGTTTTTTTCTTTTAAATCATATGGTTTAATGAGCGCCATTTCCACCAGGATTAAAGTAATTCACATTCCATCTAAAATTTACTTTATTATAGACATCTTGATGGATTCTAGCAGATTCACTACTTAAGTACAAGCTATATTCAGAAAACTCACGATTTTATAAAAACTTTTTTTCTTCAAAATGTAATTACACAATTGAGAAGAGCTGTCATCCCCCCGGGGGGTGATGGCGCAACCCGAATTGTTTTCACTTTTAAACTTGAGGGTAAGATGAACCTAATTCCAAAATTTCATTCAATTCGGAGCACAGTAAAAAAATTCAGATCTAAAACGCTCCGTTTACTGCACTAATTTGGTTAACACGATCTCCTTGAGCAAGGCATGACATGAAACTCCATATTTTACTATGTAGTTTTTAATTTAAAATATTAATTCACTGTCGTCAGTGTAGCAATCGAAATGAAAAGTTATTATTTATTATTTTTCATTTTATTATGTAGGTGAAAAGAAAGAAGATCCCAAAGGATATTTATACTGGTTGTTATATAGATTGCCGGAAGCACCTGATGTTCAACTTCCACCAGGAAATCAACACGTAGCTCCAGTTGGTAAGAATAGTGCAAGAGATAATTAATAATTGAGCGTAACTTAATAAAACAGAATTTTTTTCATATTCAAATATATCGAATAATATTATCCTAAATCGATACTTGAGTTAATAACATTATTTTTGGGCTAGGTGTGGATGGGCTCACTGTTGAAGATGGAGAACACTATCTATTCTGGTACAAAAAGTTATAAGTAAGGATAAAGCAACTGAATTGAATATGTTGAATAATATAAAAAATTTAATTATAATTTGCGAGTCGAAAAATCTTACTATGCTCATAAACGACTGCTATTCAAAGATAATCACGCAATGACAAGCATATAAATCAAAATTGTCGAATGTTTTAGACAGGGATATAATAGTACATTCAAATGCGTTGCCGATTTTGATTGAATAAAATAAAACTGATTTTGAACCAGCTGCTTAAAAACACTGTGTTTACAAATTTCTTTTTAAAAACTAATAAAAAAGTGTAGATTATGTAATAATGGATAATATTCAATGGCAATTGGATATTGACAAAATGTAAGGTAAGGGTTTTTAAAGAATATCGGTATCGCTATTATTATATCTCTAATTCTGGGCTTGTTCTTATTTGTTGGTAATGTTTACAAGCGCAATGTCGCGTTAATCATATTTTTTCATAGTATATATGTACATGTGATGTATATTTGTATATTGATTATTTGAACTTATATATTTAATAAGGCGTGTATTGAATAATATTGCTTAAAAAATTGTTATTGATGCTTGCTTAAAACAATGTTCAATAGATATAAACTATTTATTAGGACTTTATTGATTATACGATTGTTTTATATTCATTATTTTTTATAATTATATCTTAAGTGACATTGTAAAATAACTTGACTATCTTTATTTGGAATCCATTGTTACAGCAAACAATAAATAATTTAAAAAAATCAGACTGGTTTTGGTTTCCATGGATTTTTCCCAAAAATTTTGCTTCAAATTTTTTTCCTAAAAGTTTGTTCCCCAAATTTTTTTTCTCCAAAATATATGTATATATATATATATATATATTAAATAGATTTATTATATAAATAGAATATATAGACTTGTTTAAACTGCACCTTATTGCTGAAAGTTTACTACATATGCAACAGATGTCGCGTCCAAATTCATTCATATGCATTTTTCAATAGCACATACTCTTAAATATACAATGCATGTGCCTTTGCGAGTATTAAAACTTCGGTCACCAATTCTTTTTTCCCCAATTTTTTCCCCCAAAAACTTTTTCTCCCAAATTTTTTTGACCAAAAATTTTTTTGTGCAAAAATTTTTTACCCGACATTTTTTTTGGCAAATCCATGGTTACCGTTGCTTGCATGGAATTTTCAATTAAATCAATATGAATAACTATAATATTTATTTACACTTCGTAGGAACTAACAGTCACAAACAAAAAAGAAGGAAATATTCAAACAATAATAACAGTAATGGAAATGCTCCCATTGAAAAAGTTTCTACAAAAATTCCACCTATCATTATCAGAAGCACAATTGATCTTAAAACTATTAAGTACGTAAAAGACGCTACCAAAATATCATTTACTCTTGAATACATTAATCCATACAGACATAAACTTTACACTACCAATATAAAAGATCATGAAATTATTAAAAACAAACTTAAAGAATTAAAAGTTCTATTTTATACTCCTTACTCCCCCAGCAACAATTTCTCTAAAAAAATTACTATTACTGGACTGAACCCACACATTACAGATACGGAAGTTCATGACTGTCTCATTGAAAACAACATACTAGTAAAAAACGTTATTCAGCTCAAGAAAAAACATTCGGATGGACACACAATCAAACTACCTATTTACATAATAATACTGGACAACAGTCAGGATAAGAATAATCTAAAAAATGTAAACAACATCAACGGTCATCTTTTTAAATAGGAAAACTATAAACCACCAGACGTTAAACAATCCAGAAAGTGCTAAACGGTAGGCCACACCTCTTACAACTACAACTTGAAATACAGATGCTTAAAATGTACTGAAGACCATTTACCAGGACAGTGTAACAAAACTAGCAATGAACCAGCAGAGTGTATCAACTGCAGAGAAAAACACCCTGCGAACTTTTCACGTTGTGAATACTTGCTCAAGTACAAGGAGCAAAAGAAGAATAAATTTGCAAATTCACCTCATGCGTCGAGGACATATTCTGCTGTTATCTCAGAGGCAAAGGAACAATGCAAATCCGGACTCCAAAGTCCAGCTACAAAACTCTTTGTCAGAACCGGACTTTAACACGAAAGAAGGGATTTTAGATGCAGCGAAACATATAAAATCAGCATTTGAAGATCCAGAAGTGGCAACAATATTCAAGGAATTATACACATTATCTACAGCTCTCAAGACAGCAAAGACCTATGGTGAAAAATATCATTTAATACTCGACTCATTAAAAGCATGGCCTTGAACCAAACCTATAACATTAATGTAATTTACTTTAACGCAAATGGCATCAAGAAAAATCGAGCTGAACTTATTGAATTACTTGAAACTAAGAACATAGATATAATACTCTTAAGTGAGACACATTTACAAAAGAAAGATACTTTTTATATTAAAAATTACAAAGTGTATAGAACAGATAGAGAAAACTCTTCATGAGGAGGTACAGCCATTCTTGTTAGACGTTGCATTAAGCATGAACAACTCAACTTACCAGAACTGAAGTACACTGAAGCGGCTGCCATAAATATATTTATTGAAAATTCTAAACTGACAATAATATCTATGTATGTTCCGTGCAACAAATTATTACTACGTAACATCAAATCACTCGTTAATGTTAGCAATAAAGTGCTTATAGCTGGTGACTTCAACGCTCAACATACCATGTGGAAATGTAGAGAAAATAATAACAGTGGCAAAAAACTATGCAAATATATTAATAATACAGTAAACAATGTTCAGCTGCACTATCCAGATACTCCTACTAGATTTGCTCAATGTGTGCATCATAATAATAGTACTATTGACCTGGCTTTATCGAAAAATGTACATATAACAACTCAACCTACATCTCTGCCATGTCTAAATTCGGATCATAATCCAGTCTTCATACAAATAAGTAGCAAATTAACCGTCTATGAGTCTGACAATACAAAGTACTTAAACTACGCAAAAGCCAATTGGATCCTATTTAAATAATTAATAAACTTAAATATCAATCACAGAATGCAAATAACTGAAAAAGAAGACTTAGATAGAGCAGTTGAACACTTAACAAGCACGATAAATAGCGCTATTAACTTAACTATTCCTTTTAAAAATCCACAATATACTGCTAAAAATTTTTTTTACCATTTTCCCCCCAAATTTTTTTTCTATTTTTTCCCTAATTTTTTCCCTATTTTTTTCCATTTTTTTCCCAGAAATCTTTTTTCCAAAAAATTTTTTTTTCAAATTTTTTTTGCCAAAAAATTTTTCCCCAAATTTTTTTTGCCAAAAATTTTTTTTACCATTTTTTCCTAATTTTTTTTTTCAAATTTTTTTCTTCAAAATTTTTTTTTCCAAATTTTTCACCAAAAATTTTTTTCCCAAATTTTTTTTTCTCAAAATTTTTTTTCCAAAATTTTTTGGGCCAAAATTTTTTTGACCAAAAATTTTTTTCCAAAAATTTTTTTGACTAAAATTTTTTTTCCAAAATTTTTTTGACCAAAATTTTTTTCCAAAAATTTTTTTGACCAAAATGTTTTTGAACAAAATTTTTTTTCCAAAAATTATTTGCATCGTACCTAATTAGTTATTTCAAATAGTGATACAATATAATAATAATATTAATTAATATATAATTGTTACATTTTGATTAAAGAAACGTATGGATAAATTTTACTGAGAACACGGTAAAATACCAGTCATTCTGCCAGTTATTATTAAACATGGCACGAGATGGCGCCAAACAAAAATGCATTCGGCATTTATGCATACAGCACACGCTTCGAAATACTGCAAGGGGTCGATTATGAAATAACGACCTAGCATATGTTTTATTGCACTTAGTACTAATGACTTTTTTTTGACCAAAATTTTTTTCTAAAAATTTTTTGACTAAAAATTTTTTGACCAAAATTTTTTGACTAAAAATTTTTTTGACCACATTTTTTTGGGCCAAAATTTTTTTGACCAAAATTTTTTTTGGCCAAAATTTTTTTGACCAAAAATTTTTTTGACCAAAATTTTTTTGACCAAAATTTTTTTGACTAAAAATTTTTTTGACCAAAATTTTTTTGACCAAAATTTTTTTTCGAAAATTTTTTGGGCCAAAATTTTTTTTCGAAAATTTTTTTTGACCAAAAATTTTTTTGACCAGAATTTTTTTGACTAAAAATTTTTTTGACCAAAGTTTCTTTTCCAAAAATTTTTTATCCAAAAATTTTTTTGACCAAAATTTTTTTGACCAAATTTTTTTTGACCAAAATTTTTTTGACCACAATTTTTTGACCAAAATTTTTTTCGAAAATCTTTTGGGCCAAAATTTTTTTCCAAAAATTTTTTTGACTAAAAATTGTTTTGACCAAAATTTTTTTTGAACAAAAATATTTTTGATTTTTGATGAATATTTTTTTTTCAAAAATTTTTTGGGCCAAAACTTTTTTGACCAAAATTTTTTGGTTCCAAAATTTTTTTTCCAAAAATTTTTTTGACTAAAAATTGTTTTGACCAAAATTTTTTTTGAACAAAAATATTTTTGACCAAAATTTTTTAGTCCAAAATTTTTTGGGTCAAAATTTTTTTTCCAAAATTTTTTTGACCAAAATTTTTTTTGACCAAAAATTTTTTTGACCAAAATATTTTTTCGAAAATTTTTTGGGCCAAAATTTTTGGGGTCAAAATTTTTTTGACCAAAATTTTTTTGACCATAAATTTTTTTGACCAAAATTTTTTTCGAAAATCTTTTGGGCCAAAATTTTTTTTCCAAAAATTTTTTTGACCTCAATTTTTTTCGAAAATTTTTTGGGCCAAAATTTTTTTGACCAAAATTTTTTTTGACCAAAAATTTATTTGACCAAAATTTCTTTCGAAAATTTTTTGGGCCAAAATTTTATTGACCAAATTTTTTTTGACCAAATTTTTTTGACCAATTTTTTTTTGACCAAAATTTTTTGGGTCAAAATTTTTTCGACCAAAATTTTTTGGACCAAATTTTTTTTTGACCAAAATTTTTTTTCGAAAATTTTTTGAGCCAAAATTTTTTTTCCA